AATTTTCATGGTGAGATATAAAACTTCGGTTATTTTATAAAATCAACGAACACTCAAGTTAAGTGGTGCATCAACCACCACAACGAATATACAGTAGAGCGTCGATTTTCCGAATCAATTGGGGACTGCGGTTCGTATAACTGATATTTCGAATAACCGATTTATGTAAGAAAAAATAGTTTAACGTATCCGATGTCGAAATTTTTCTCCGTTGCGTGTCGCTTCGCGTTGAATTTTCGTCGATGTTAAGCCTAACGAAGACTATTGTATCGTTAAAAATTATTATTTTTTTATTTTGTACAAACAAAATAAAATTATAAANGATAAAAAAAAAAAAAATGTGAAAGTTGTGTAATGTGTGCTGCTCTGCATGGCACTGGAGGTAATTAATTGAATTATTATACACATACAAAAACATTGAATGATGTGAGAAGTTAATGGGCTGTGTAAAAGAATTATGTACTTGTTAAACGATGACTTGATTATTTACAGTCGACCTCCCCTATAACACTGATGATTTTTCTGTTTTATATGAATTCCATGTTGTACGAGTCACTTAGATTTTACAAATACGTGTGCTGGGCTGTGAACGGTTCACGTATTTGTAAAATCTAAGTTACTCGTACAACATGGAATTCATATAAAATAGAAAAAGTCAACAGTGTTACAGGGGGGTCGACTGTATTATGTAAATTAAATATTGGCTCTTTATTGCTTGAAACCGAATTTAACGGCCGGTTATGTGGCTCGATTCGGACGGATCGTGTCGTCGTATGGCTTATTAGAGCCGCTTAATCGGTCGGTGCGCCCCTAGTCTTGGAACGAGCCACGTGTTGCCAAATGATTTAGAGAAATAGATCAAAATTTAAAGCAGAGTGTGGTTAAATAATTAAGATTTCTTTTTTTTTTTTACTGGAAGAAACTAAGATTGCTTATATTGTTTAAAGTATATCGACGGTACGACGTATTTAGTAGACGTTTGGTGCGGGTGTTTGTGCTATGTAGTGTATCGTACCAAATTTTGACTGTTTACTATGTTATAAGGTTTTGTCTAATGAATGGGTAGAAGGAATTTTAAAAAAGTAATAGGAACTATTATTGGGTGTGTCTTGCCGAATCAGAATGGATTAAAGAAAAATTTTAGAACAGTATATCTTGTGGCAAACTACATTGGTCTATAGCCTGGGGAATTGGGTTGAAATCTATTTACGTTCTTATAAATTTGTTATTTGTGTGGATAGTATGGTTTTTTGTTACGAAAGGTGAGAATAAACGAATATATTTTAATAAAGATATCCTAATTATAAACATTGTTTTTCAGTTATCAGGATCTGAACATTATGCTTATGGTGTCAATTCTATTTTGGGTAGGGAATAAGAGAAAAATGTAATGACTGCATCAAACAATAAAAACAACAATTTTTGGATATAATGTAACAAAAATATCAAGTTATTTACTTAAAGTTTAATTTCACAATATAATTATTAGATTGAATTTGAATTTTAGTTTAAGAGAAAACATATTTTTCAGTGCACAGAATAATAATTTTATTCGTTATAATTCTGATAATGAAGAAAAAACTGGACGTGATGTAATTGTTTATATTTGTAGAACAGTTAAAATATGTGACAGATTTCTTTACTTAAATTATTTTGTAAAATATAATAACGAGAAATGTCAAAATATATGTCTATAATTTATATGTAAGTTTATAGATTACATATACGAGGGGGACCCAAAAAAAACTGAACTGAGAGTGCGCTGCCATTTGTAGATGTAATAGAGAGTTCTCCTGTTACATGGGGTTAGTAGAGACCTTCACGAAACAGTGGTGCAAACGGCATCAGTTTGTAGGTTTACGTTTGAGCGTAGTGTTGTGTTTCTCTTACTGTTATTTTGTTCCACCTGCAAAGTTCTGGGCGTTCTTGAACATCTCGAAATGATGAAAACGTTGAAAAAAATCTGCCAAAAAATGTGTTAAGATGTCTGCGAGAGGATGTGCGAAGGAAACGCTGGGAACTTTGGCGAGCAGGTGACTGGTTATTTCATCATGACAACGTCCCCGCACACATGGCCTTACAAGTGACTTACTATTTGGCCTCTCGAGGATGGCCTGTCGTTCCCCACCCGCTGTATTTACCAGACCTAGCCCCGCACGACTTTTTTCTGTTTCCGACAATGAAGAAAAATCTAAAAGGGAAGCGTTTTGATGATGTGGAGGCAATAAAAACAGCTTCGCTAAGGGCACTCACTGCATGATATAAAGGTTGAAAAGTTTCAGAGAGGTTTCAAACAGTGGGGAAAAAGACTTCACAAGTGCATCACATCTAGTACTTTGAAGGTGACTGAAGAAATTTTGTAAAAAAGTTAATAAATAAAGTTTTTATACAAAAAATCTGGTTTTTTTTGGGGTCTCCTTTACGTGAATGATGTGTTGACATAGTTTGCTTATTGTTTGGTGTAAATTTATAACACTTAATAAAAACTTTGTAATCTCTTATCTGTTTGTGGATTGATAATGTTTCAAGTATTTCTATTTTCTTATCCTTTCTGTTAGTCTGGAACAGTAGTTCCCATACTGGATGCTATCTCCTCTGTAGATGGTTAGTAAATTTGGAGGGCAAAAGATGCAGGGGGTACTGGAGACAGGATACTGAACAGTGACCTTAAGGAAAGGTTGATAATTTTTCCCTTTTCTGTGTTAAAACGGTTGCGTTTAATGGTTTTCCAATATCGAGAACAAAGTTTTTTTGTGACTGTATGAAAAATCATATATTTATATTTAAAATTTATAATTAAATAACTGAGTAAAGCTAGACAATATTTATACAATAATTTCATAACATAAATACATCCTGTAAACACAGTAGTGGTGATCAGTCTATATTATTTACTCAGCTAGGCTCTAAGGAAATTTTTATTGCATGTTTACAATAAGCTGTTATGTGAAAGATGGGCACACTGAAAATTCGGTACAAACTCAATACGGTGGATATGTGTTAGTAGTCTCAGCCATCCAGCATAGTTTATACAGTTCTGAAGGTGCCGGCCTAATTTCGACTTTTCGGGTTTGATCCTAAAAATTCTACATTTTCTGTAGTATGGAACGGGACATTGTTCTCCATCATTCACCCGTGCTTACTAACTGCTCCACTGTTTAAGTCAATTGGTTAATTGTGAATGACTGTGTAACCAAAATGTAAATTTTCTCACATTCCTTAATCAAATAACAGGTGCTTGATAATATGTAGTAAGATAACAGTTTATTTATGAATACTTTCAGCATATATTTTATCTGACTGTCTTTTAGATAAAGAAAAATTCAAAGAAATTCAAGAAAAATAACTTAAATATATTGTAATAAGATTTTAATACTTGATACAGATTCATTATTTACCTAACATAAATTTGTTTTTGTGAAATTTATCCTTTACATATTAAAATTTCATAATTTTTGATGAAATTTCTTAAATAATATTTGAATAGTTGGAATTTTTAATAAGTAATTTAACCATTATTTTTATAAAGCCTACATTACTATAGTTGCATCACTGAACAAACAAATTATATATTTAGCATCGTTAATATTTGATATAAAATATTTAACTTTCTCTTGATATAGTTTATAACCAGTAAAGCTTTAATGATAAGTAATTAAAATAATTTATAGATGTGTCATGCTTAATTATAACTTGGTGAAGATGACAAACATTTCTATTAAGTTGTATTAATCTTAATTGTTTCTTATTATTGTATACACAATATTTTACTTAATTGACATTTAGAGATGGATATTTATTGTTGTTATGTACGTTATTTAAGATTTGAAGCATGCTTTAAGTAGAAAATTGTTTTGTTATGCGTAAAAATAAAGTTTAGAATACAAAAATACTTCCGGAGCAAATTTTGACGCTTTAATGAATAAAAGAAAATAGAAAGATGCTTCGTAACTCCAGAAGTCTGTAGTCTATAGTACAGTTTATAGTAAAAATCCAGTCAGCATTTCACTTGACAAAGTATAATATTGGTATCAAACTTCAGAGTTGAATGTCATTCAACTTTAGAGTTGTGTTACTAGTCTAGAATTTGTTTTGTAAACAGGGCAACTTGAAAGCGTTACAGCTAAATGACAGTTTATTTGATAATTTATCACATATATATTATATCTGAATATCTGGGATATAGAATATTAAATTACAAAGATGTTTTACAAGAAAGCTAACAGTTAGATAGGTTTCTTTGGAATACAGACTACTACGAAGTAGATGTTAACTGCCTGTTTATTTCCTTTCGGTAAACATTTGACTAGTCCATTAGGAGTCGAGAATATCTCGACTTTTTCCGAACTTCGGTTTATCTTGCCATTTGACCTTTCACAACTAGTTTTTGAAACTTTTCTAACTAATTGTATCCTAACTTAGTTTGTGTCATGTAGTGCAATGTGGAAACTATTTCCTTTTAATTAATGCATTTTTTTGTGTGTGTACTGGTTTGTATGACAGCGTAAACTGAGCTTTAGTGTCAAAAGTTCTCTTTTCTGTACTTCTTATAGTTTAAAATCTGATAGAGCTGGAACGAGAAAATTAATGGGAACTTCTACAGTTGTCTCTATCCCAATTTCACATTGCAGTTGAAATTAGTGTTTTAAGACACTATAAATTAATTTCTTAGAAATGATCATAGAAATTAATAGATCATATTACATCAGATAATAGAGAACGAGTCTTCTTATCTCTAGAATTTTATTAAATTTATATATAAACAAAATAAAAGAACACAAGCTTCTTTATTTAATGTCATCAGCTGTCAAAAATACTTGTCAAACTCTAAGACAACAAAGTTTATTTACGAACAGTTCAACTCTCCATTCATTCATATCCTAACTTTGTAACTTGTGTATCAAAGGCCAAAGTAGATAAAAGTAATAGGCAGCTGTTCTGCCTTATCATAAACAAATAGCGAAATTCATCTACGAATTATCTGCTTACGATGAGATAGAACGGCTGCTTATTTTTTTTATCTATTTTGATCTAATTACTACAAACGAGACTCGTTTCCACAGATGTTTTTTATTTTCTTTTAATTACGAGATAAAATATGGCAACCTAAAAAAAAATTACGAGTCTAATTTTGGCTCGTAAAATGCGTCAACATAAATAATAAATGCCGTATTCGTCCGTCGTCACGATCGAACGGCCGAGACGGTTTCCTCTATCGGATATAACTAATGGATTAATAATTAGAATAATCAATAGTCGCCGACATTTCAAAATGGTAACGTCACGTTTACTAGGTTGAAAGTGTCATTAAATTTTTATTATATAAAATCTTTTTCTGGATGGAGCATTACATCACTTTAATTTTTTTTTATTATGGCATTTATTATAGATTTTATTAGTTTTTTAATATTTTTACGGAAAAACCAAAAAAATGTGCAGCCTTATAAAAAAAATTGTTAAATTTTTTTTATAAGGCTGCACATTTTTTTCTTTTTTTGTGCTTTTACAAATTATAATCCTCTATTTTTTAATTTCATTTAATTCGAAGTGATTTTATTTTATAAAATGGAATTACGATCTGACTAAATTTTATATGAATTTTTACAGCCAGAAGATATGCAACAACAGATTCTTAGAGAGACTTTTCAGTTAGTGTCAAAGCGAGATGATAACGTGTGTAATTTTTTGGAAGGAGGAAGGTGAGCTGAATAATTTTTCAATGCTTAGTATAATCATACAAGTTGCACAGTAAAGTCCTTACATGCCTATAAAACTGATGAAAGCAGATGGCTACAATTATGAACATACATATACAATAATATGATAACATGCTATGAGATGATATCACTTACGTCACCCCTAGTAAAATTTGGAAGTTTGTGTTTCTATCTCAGAACAATACAGGGCATGAAAAAGTTGTAGAGCCTACTGAATGTAGTAGAAAAGGACACACTACATATGCAGATAGTACGATGAAATGCTAATTTATTGGTATTTGATTCCCGTTAATGCTAAGTTGCTAATTTCATCACAAAGTGTAGGAAGTGAAACTGCACATAAGATGTAGATGTGGCAAATTATTCTGGTGAGCAACTGAAAACTGTGTCCCGGATACAAAGGCATATTTTTATTCTGTCTCTGTCCCTGTTTCACAATTTGCCGTTTTGTGATGCGATTAGTGACATAGCATTTACGAGAATTGAATATTGACAAATTGCGATTTTGCACTTTCTATTCATGCAATTCGCATATGCAGGATGTTATTTTTTTTTACTGAATTGGTCATGTACACTTTGTAATCGACTTTTCTCTCTATCATGCATAATTTTCAAAATGGGAGCAGTAACTTCTGACTTTTACCACTGGGGTACCACAAGTGGTCTCTTCCCAGATCAAGTAGTCACTTTACTATAACTATAGGTGATATTTGTAACTATAGCTATTTTCATTCATCAGTTACTTTGGGTGTATAAGGACTACCTGTATAAAATTGTATTATATATCTTACACAAAAGATTATACAAGGCAGAAATAATTGTTTAAGGTTGAAGGTATTTGCTATTTAAACACATTAGTAATTGTATTAAATTAAACGTTATAAGACATAAAACACTAAGAGGTATTTGTAATGAGGAGCTCCTCTCAGTTTTAGTAAAGCTTAATCATACAAAAATCATGAATTGTGAACAGACATATTTAGTTAATGACAAAAACAGAAATGAGGGTAAATGTTCGTGATTAGCCAAACATACCCAAATGCTTGCCATTTTCACTCAGAATCTGTCTGTCCATTTACATCAAAGTAGACAAATATTTGTCCCGTATGCATACAAAATAACCATCGAGAAATTCGATAATTATCATGTACATTTGAGCTTGTTATGAGAGAGACAGTTTGGCAAATAGTACATATATGGACAAATTATTTGTCATTTGACAAATAAGACACAATTAGCTCAGCCTTTAGACTTTCCTATATTAAATAATGTACATTATTTAACACATTCCGGTGTTTTGTGGTGTAGTTTAACTTTTCTATATTGTCAATGAAAAATGAATGTGTCATTAGAAATATTCTATAAGAAGTAAATGCAAAGAAATTAATGTAGAAAAAAAGCAAAAGTTGCCTTTTCATATTAACATTGAGTTATTAAACAGAAGATTCGATTTATTCAAAGCTATTTTAAACAGACTGAAATTATAATGAGTAGAGAGGATAGATTACTTCCTATTCAAATCTCCAATAAACTGTCGCATAAAGAATTTTAATTATATTGTAAATGATAATTCATTAAATATATTGTCAATTGAAAGTAAACCTTATAAACTGAAGTTATTTGAGCATGTTTTTATAAACAATCGACTGTTTTAATGAACTTTAACCAAGACCAAATATTAATTATTTGCAATAATTTTATATAATCAAAAACCATGTTTATTGAAATATTTAATAAATGTATTTATTTAATTACATTTACATTTGTTTAGTTTTTATACTATTGTCAAATGTTGATTGTAATGTGCGGCCACTTTTTTGAAGTTTATACATAAAGTGGGAAGCGTGTGTGTAAAATTAATGTTAAGTTACATAATAATTCAATTTATTATAAATATTTGCACTCATTTTAATTGAAATTAATCTGTATGTTGGTGAAGAGAGGGTTCAAAATGAAAGTCAAAATACATCTGTGAACAAAAATTAATAAAGATTTGAAGTTTCAAATTTGTATGTCTTTTGTAGTGAGCAATTTGGAATAATTGGAAGCAATCCTTTATAGAATACCTTTGTATCCTATTTACAATCTCTCTACATTCATACTGTATTCTCTATGTAATAGAAAGTATTCTATACTGTCTTCTGTATCCTCTTTATCTTCTATTATCTTCTCTCTACTCATCATATTAACTTCATCCAAATCCCAGCAAGTAATTCAAAGACGGGACTTCAGATCATTTCAAAGATTAAATTCCAATTAAAATAAATGTTTGTTGTGTGTACTATTAAAAACACAAAATTGAATGATTAAATTCCAAGTTTATAAAGTTATGCTTATCTATCTACTTATCTTAAAGTTACTTCTGCTTATCTGGAAAACATTTTATTCATTTTCTGAGCTTCAAATAACAATATTAATAGCATTATTTATTTTATTTTATTAGTTTAAATTATATAAAACCACATGCCAGCAAATTCGTTAAGTAAATACACTTGCCTCGACTCATGTTGTTGCCATTTTATCGTCAAAAATTGATGGTTAAAGTAATGATTTTGCGAAAAGAAAATGTTTTACTGTATTTTAATCAAAAATATTAATTATTACAGAGAAAAATTTAATGAAAATGATACAGAAATTTCTAGTACAATATGCAACAGAAAAATAATGCTTTCTAGGACAATATTTGAAATCAATTCCATGCTGACGTTGGGAGAAAATTATACACTTACTGTAATGAATTGAGCTGATTAATATGAATTATCTTGTTAATTAGCTTTCTGCAGTTGTCCTGCACGAGTTGATGGCCGGATGTCCGAGCAGCAAATACGGCAACCTGCCACTCTGGAGGGACTGGAGGTCTAATCCAGACTGATTAAAAAACAATGAGGATATTTTGGGGGATGGTCATCTGGATATGTTAGATGTTATCTCTCGCCCCATTGCAGGCCCAGCCCAGCCCATAATGGACTTGCTAAATCTCTAGATTATATCGTAGAAACATTAGAAGAGTAATACATGTGCATTTTAATAATGCCATCTAGTGTTGGTAAGCTTAACTGTTTTGTGGGAAATATTACATTTACAATAAGTGCTCTTCTTAGAGCACTTGTTTTTCAACTGTTCTCAATCTTTCTGAATTTAAAACTATTAAAATAGCTTTACCATTCAAAAGAATTATCTAATGAACTTTTTACTGTAGTAAATGTCATTCTACATTATTTAATACAGATCTGTTTTTTCTTTTTTTTTAAATTAGATTCTAGTTTAAATACCTGCACATTGAACTAATATTGCAATCACACTGCAATGACTCTTGTAGAAAATATTAAATCAATTGTCGTTGGATCAAGTATTGAAGTCAGAAGTGTGTGTTTGTATAAATCCAACTCGATTGTGTGATTGGTAATGTAGTTCGGGTACGGTTATATTTAATTGTTCGAGTGCCACAGAATACTGTGAACATTTATTCGTTCCACCATGACAAGTGATTTGTATTAATCATGTTTTGAGCATTTTTGGCTGTTCTAAATTTTCTAAAATACAGATCGTTAATTAATTTGATTTTACTGGAGTTGGAGTGGGACAGTTCGGCCAGAATCATGAATTTATAGACAGGCCCAACTGTATCAGATGTAATCATCACCCGCTGCATAAACTTGACACGTTGTTTTGTATTAATTAATTGTATAAATGTTTACTTAAATTTAATTCATTTTTAAGAAACTTGCCATTTTATTAAGTTATTAATGTGATATTTTATTCATTTAGCCTGATAGGTGGATCCGACTACAAACTGATCTATAGACATTATGCAACTCTGTATTTTGTATTCTGTGTGGATTCGTCCGAAAGCGAACTCGGAATATTAGATTTGATTCAGGTAAACTCTCGCATTTCTTCACTGTTATGTAATAATCTGTTTTCTAAATCAAATTAATGTTATTCTTTGATAACATTTTTATAAATTTTAACAGCTAAAAATTAGAATTTTATGCTTTATCTTGAAAGATTTATATTAGTTTTTAATATTTATCAAAATTTTATGAATGTTTCGATGGTTTATTTTCAAACGGTAGTTATTTAAATATCTTCTGTAAAGTCAACTTTGTTTTTACAAAAATAAAATCAAATGTTGTTTATATTGAATTAAATCAAAACATAAAGATGTGTTTATGTGCCAGTCTACCACTCTGGAAGACTCAGGTACTGTTGAAAAACGCCAGGAATTCCTGAGTGTGGTTCGTTCCGGATATGTTGTGTTCCCCTCCATTGCAGACGTAGTCGAATTCACGACAGGTATCGAAAAAATCGTGGTGCCCATTGACAAATTGGCCAAAAAAAATTCAAATATATATACATAAAATGTGAATAAACAAATCCAAACATAATTTAATCCATTAAATTATATTTAAAAACTGTTTTATAATAATGTGCTTAAACAATTCATTTTAAAACAGTTTTTAGTAGATTATTTTATCAAAAATTATAATTTTGATAAGCTAATCTATCGAGACACATCCACAGTTATTGTACATCTTTTATGTTATAATTATAGAAAATTTTATCAGTAAATGTATATAATTATCTGCTATTTTTAAGATCAATACAAAAACTGCCACAACTTTGAGCTTTTTGGCCCATCTTTGATTAACGAAAGGATTTTGGTGTCCCGATGGTGGGATGATGGAAGGCTCAAAAGTACCAGGACTTTAGTAGAATTTTCATTTTCTGTTCAAAATGGCAGAAAACTGTGTATGCTAAAGGAGTTAGGGAAATAAATTTGTTTGAAATATACTAAAAATTTATATAAATTTAAATGTGTAGTTGCTACTACTAGTTGATCTTAATTTAAAATAACACCTATGACATTCAAATTTTTAAGTTTACAGTATTAAATTTACTTTAAACTTTATTACAGAGTGTTCTCAATATGATTCCTAACATCTATTTTATAATTCTTCATACAATTATGACACAGACTAGGAAACAAAACTGTAGAATACTGTGTTTAAATACTACAGATTATTACAGTTAAATCTTATCAGTAAATCTTGATAAAATTTAATCCAAATCATATTTTGATCAAAGTGAAAATTTCTAAAAACTCTTCACAAATTCTAGTGCTTATGGACAGATCTACCTGCAACATCTAGAGTAGTGCCTCGAGGACAATAGTTATAACTTGCTATCCCTTGTGTACAGTGTATGTCACAAACCCTTTTTCCTATAATAGTATACTTGCTTACTGGAGAATAAAATCAATAAAAATAAAAACTATTCAACTATCCAGCAAAATTCTTTAATAACTTAAAACGTTTTCAAACGCATTAAGCATTCATCTTCAGTTAATTCTATAATTCGAAATGTGAAAATTCGAAAAATTACGCAACGGGAATTCCAAATAACGGTTATGTAAAAAAAAATAAAAAATAAAAATGTAACGTGTTACAAACGAAAGTGCTATATATAAATTTTCGTGTGCTTAATAAACAATAATAATAATAATAATAACAAATAAATAAATAAATAAAATATCTATCATCGATCATCCTAAACCTGATTGAGCCTTTTATATAGATCTATGCTAATTCGTCGCAAAAAGATTTCCAAGCGGACGAAAGCCCGTCGGCATCTCTATAGTTGATACATTGCGCGCTCTTCTGTGTCTTGTGGTTTTTATGGTTTTTATTTTTATTGACCTTTTTTTTTATTGAGTAAATTTGTTTTATTATTTCTCTATGTTGTACAGTGGTACCTCAGGTTACGAACGCCCCAGCATACGAAATTTTCAGGATACGACATGAAATTCGAACATATTTTTGCTCCACGATACGAACAAAAACTCACCATACGACGTTACATTAGTTTGCATTTTTCATTTGTTTTTCTTACTACAGTTATTTTTTTTAATGTATTACTTGGCTTTAATTTGAGTATGTTTTTTGCATTGGAACGAATTATTTGGTTTTACATGTAATCGTATGGGAAAAGATGATCCACCTTACGACATTTTCATGATACGATCTCAGTTTCGGAACGGATTAATTTCGTATCCTGAGGTACCACTGTATTTTCATTTCTACCATATCACGTTTTATCTTCAGCTTTTTCCATACAGTATAACAATAATGCATTATACTAAGGCACTTTTATTTAATGGAAATGTTACTTTTGTTTCTGGTGCTTTTGAGGCTATCCTATGACCCTTCCGCTTTAATAAGCTCTAATCTTGAGGAATAGCGCTTTTAACAAGGGGTGAACAAGGTACTTTTTCCTAGGTGCAGAACTTTTAGATTATTTCTGGGGTATAAAATTCCTTTTTAAATAATTTTTTGGCATAAAATAAATACTTGCAGCAAGAATGGAAACCTACCAATAATAAATTTAAATGTACTGTATAAAAATGTATTTTTACATTACAAATACCAAATCTAAATCTAAATGTTTATATATCAATGAACACTGTAGGACAATTCTCTTATGTAACTCCTTAAGCTGTATCTAAAGTTAGAGTAAATATATGCAAAAAAAATGGAATGACTTTAAGCTTTTATTATTTAAAAGCATAAATTTTTTACAGGGTAGAAGAATGTATTGCAAAAAGTCAAAGTATGGGCACTGGAGAGATTGAAGACATGAATGTGCTAATGTAAATTCCGACAGGATCTAAAACATGGGAAAAGATAAAATTATAATACAAATAGTAGATGAGCCGGGCATTGCTCGGGCAAAAACTAACAGCAAAGTTTAATATTATTAGATTATTTCGTACTTTTAATTCATCTACTATATTATATTACAGTATTTCATTTATATTTACAAAGGTGATCTTAGGTAAGAGTTTTATCACACTGAGTGCCCAATCTAACACAGTTTAAAGAATTTTTAAAATGTGTTAGATTGGGCACTCGGTGTGATAAACCCTTACCTAAGATAGCTTTTATACTTATATAGCTGATCTTATCCATTTTCACTGGGTGCAAGAATTATGTTTCCCCTCTTACAATACTAATTTTCAGATGGGTTAAAAAAATATGTTAGATTTCCTGCAAAAATGCATAAAACTACATCTAAAACAGTGCAGTAGAAGCCAAGTTCTTCAGGGTAATCCTTAACCCTCTCCTCCCACACCGGAGGTGGGGGGAATTTTGATAAATCCCTTCTTGGTGTTCTCATGATATACCCGAACTGTGTACCAAATTTCAACTTTCAACTTCTAACCATTTGGGCTCTGTGCTTATTATTATTATCGTCAACCCAACTCGCTTATATTATAAGATAAATGTATGTGTATGATTTAGTAAGTGACATTTTTTTTTGGATGTTTTTGAATATCCACGAAGTGTTTAATTAATATTTTTGATCAGTTTTAATGGAAAGTCGTTCCAAGCAGATTTACAAAATTCTACTCGTATATTTTCCAGGTTTTTGTCGAAACTTTAGACAAATGTTTTGAAAACGTTTGCGAACTTGACCTTATATTTCACGTGGATAAAGTAAGTAATTAAAGTTAAAATTTTGCACATTTTTGATGGAATGTGTACTTACGTTACTTATAACAAGACATTATTTATATTCTAGGTCCATTTTATTTTGAACGAATTAGTGATGGGTGGTATGGTCCTGGAAACAAACATGACCGAAATTGTCACTCGAATTGACGAGCAAAACAAAATAGAGAAACAAGAGGTGAGAACTTTAAATGCTAATTCTTAGTTATAAGAGTAATTTTCTTTTACAAATTTATTTTTAAAAATTGAAGCTAAACATCAGAAATGAATTGATAATGGCCTATATAATAAATAAAATTATCTTGAATATTTTTAAGCTTAACAGTTTGCTTTTTACTTTTCTGCTTTGATGGCCCTAAGAGGGTCTTTTGTACCCATTGCAAGTTTGGCAGAACCATAACTGTGGTGTTTGAGTAGTGAGAGTTACTGGCTCAAAATATTCTGGCCAGATCACTCATGTTCTGAGATGTCATATACCTTGGACTCAAACTTGGTCTTCGAAATGGCATACGTGACACTTTACATCAGTTTATAGTCTGATGATGGCATGGAGTTCGAAGGTCGCTAGCCGTCACCATAGATTATGAGAATATCATCCACTTAAAGTCGATTTCTAGATTGTAACTAATTTGATTTGGCATTGGCATTGAATGGCAAAGTCAAACATCATTCAGCTTAAGAGGTGCACTGGTAGACTGGAAGTGTAGCCAATTTGCTGAATTTGTTATTCAGCAGAGTGGAGGACAGCAAATGTAACAGAACTCCATAAATTCTGCCATTGCAGCACCATGCTTCCATTGCACCGTAACCACCCGTTAATCGTTTAGGTATCCCGTTGGCTTAATCGGTTATCATCAGAAATGTAATACATTTTTATCACAAGCTTCGTTAGTACTGTTCTGTTGTCAATTAAAATAAAAATAGTACAGATAGATAGCTTGTTGTAGAGTTAATCTAATATATCAACATCTCTGAAATGTATGAGTGCCATTAAATCTGGGTTTGTTCTTATAGGCCGGAATATCCGCCGCACCCGCTAGAGCAGTGTCGGCCGTGAAAAACATGAATCTTCCGCAACAGATAAAAGACATAAAATTACCAGATCTTCCATCCATTGGCGGTCTAAAATTTTAATACTATCGACCGGTTCGAAACGACGACTTTGTGAGAGCGAGTCAAATCCGTTTCGGCGACATTTATTAATTTATTTCACCCTCCGACCGCAGTCCGAATTCTTGTGATAATTTGATTACGAAACTCTGTCTAAAAATGCATTGATATTTCAGTTTCTTTTTATTTCTAAATGAAAAATGTTTAGATGGAGGCATTGTTACAATTCTGTGTTTGTACGCGAAAGACAACCACAAACGATGTACAAAATATTCATAAGGTCTCGTAATTGTTTGTGATGTTGCAATTTTACATATTGTAAATAAAGGTATTTACTAAAAATTATGTTTGTTGTTTCTACTTCATTACTTCCAACTCTAATCTGTGAATCAGTATTGTAAGTGTGTCATTACTCTGGAAGCCTTCGTGTCACATTTGATACTTGCACTCGTATATTGGGTTGGAACGCTCGGATACATTAGCGTACACCATGCCGATAAATTAGGAGGAGGATGTGAGGAACAGGAGAGACAATTTGTGTTATTTTTGGGAGGTTTCAGAGTCCAACAATCAATTCCGAGCTCTGTTTATGGGTCAACAGTGGCTGCCGAGAACTTTGTTTACACGGGGGTGGACAGGAATTACCTGTATTCGGCAGGGTGATGGTGCAGCGGTTCTAAATTTAATGTCTCCTATAGGAGTAATGACACACTTTTGACTCTTAAGTTAAAAATGTGTGTTTTGTCCACCTATCATTCTCAATGATAATGTCAGGGCATTTTCAAAACAATTCATCCGTTGTAATTTGTTAAATGTGTCTGGATAATCTTCCTACATCATTATCTTTTATAATTGGTTGGTATATAAAAGATTGAATATTTATTCCAATTGTTTTATTTAATTAATTTCTCTGTTTTAAATGCATATGATTGCCAATTAGTGGCAGCCTACCATTAGGAGACCTGGGACCAAAGTCAGTCGAGCAACTTCTGGAATTTTTCGTCGGTAGTCTGTCCCAGATAAGTCTAGCTCCACCCCTCATCACCAGATGCCCTCACGACATAATTTAAACACTATTGCCCACAAGGCATAAAGAGAAAAGTGGTTTAAAAAGTCCTCGTTATAGGTCCGGCCAGGTCCAAGGCAAAGAACGAAAGGCAGCAAGAGAAGAGGGTCAACATACCGTGACGACCCATGCACAAAAACTTCAAAACGGTGGCCGGCCCAAGTTCGATTCCAGGTCCCTTAGTGCATTAGACAATGCTTTAACTGTACCCAATCACGAGTTTTTCCAAGCCCACAATGGGCTGCTGGATGTTAAGACCAACTCAACATATTCCCTGAAAACACGCAAAAATTTCAGGATTCAATCGAGATCTTCAGAACGGCAGACCATTATATTAATCATTTGGGGTCATCCGGCCATTACTTATTGTTAAGAATGTGTTTAGATCCCTTATATAATTTCATATTTTGAAGTGCTGTTGAGGGCATAACCACCACTCTTCGGTACTGCCCTTTTGTGGAACTTGCTACCCGAAATGGCAAGTACAGTCAAATCCCCTATAACACTGTTGATAATTTTGTTTTATATGAAATCCATGTTGTACGAGTCATTTAGATTTTACAAATACGTGTGCCGGGCTGTGAATGGCCCACGTATTTGTAAAATCTAAGTGACTCGTACAAATATGGAATTCATATAAAACGGAATTATCAATAGTGTTATAGGGGGGGTGACTGTATTGGATTTAAATTAAAATATGGAGGAAAATTTTGGTTCAGTGTGAACTGATGTAGGTGCAACAATTATGATTTCAATTATGTTTTTTAATTAAAATGTATTAAACATTTAATAAAAATTATATACGTTTATGTAAACATCCGATAAACATTGTTACGAAATTCAAATTATCGCTCAACTTGTTTATCGATCTTTTCGTCACTTCGTTTTATAACGATAACAAAAATCGATATCGATGCAAAATAAACTTATTAAGAAATTCCGAAGCGCTAATTAAATTCGTCGTCCATTTTATATAAATGTGTATAAAAAAAACCAAATTACTGCTAAAATTCCCCGTAATCAAAAGAAAAATTAACAAAACCCCGACGCTACCGCCTCTAGCGTCAAAATTCGTCAAAAAAAAAGACGAAACTCGTAATTGCCGGATTCGGAAGTTCGGTGAGTAATTTATTACCCAATATCCTCGCTAATTACACAAAACGTCACGCGTGGAAATACGAAGAATTTTTACCCCGACGGTGACGCCCCTAGTGACGAAATCACGAATCGATGGGGGTAGCGGAGGAGAAAGACGAGTGACAGTGGCGTATTATTTACGCTTCATTTCTCGTAATCGGACTTAACCTCGCGTTGCGTTTTTACATGTTCCGTTGATTCGTCATCGTCCGTCGATCAAACATGAACTTTTTCAAGTGCCAATCGAGCCTGACGCCTTTACTCAACGGCCTGTTGCTCTGCCTCTTGATGTTCGCCTTCCTCGTCCAAGGTGAGTACACTCGTACTTAAGAAGGCTATAAAACACCTCCCCCCATTCCACCCTCTCTCTTCTGTCCTTTGTCAAAATGTCGCCAGTTCACAATTAAAATCCCCGTGCGGTTGTCCACCCCGAAATTTGATCTTAAGATTTCAACATGGCGACGGGTAACCGATAATGACCTCTGCTTTAATTAATTACTCTATAAAGGTAAATCACTGTTAAAGAAATCTTTGACCCCTTTTCTCTCTCTTCCGGTTTCGATGTAGGTTATCTCTTGTTACGTTTCCGGTTTGTCACATTTAAATTTATGAAATAAATTCGACGTAACGCGTTAGTTACGTACGAAAAGGGAAATTATTGTTACGTTAGTGACGAAAGTACAGAAAGTATGTGAAGTAATGCGTAACCGGGGGAACGGACGGTCTGCACCGTGTCTTTGTCCCCGTGTTCGTTCGATCGGATAATGACTGCTGCTATCTCTTGACCTCGTCAAACCGCGGGATGAACTTTGAAGAAAAAGCACTCGTTCTCTGTAAGGATGGTGACGACAACGATGCCACTTTGTGACGCCGGGTTAGACGGAGCCGGCGGCAAAGGATTTTAATCGCTCCTTTTTGAGAGGATGTCTCTTTCGCCAAAGGTTTGTCATTTGAGATCAATGGCGGCGGCGATGACGCCCAGTTATTCCGGCTTCTCGGACAAAATTCTTCCTTAAACTCCGAAATCTGCGGCGAGAAAAAATTTGAAATCTTTCTCTAGAATACCCCGACGTGCACCATCCTGGATTTATCTACTTCTAACAAAACGGGTGTGATGGCACGCTTGGTAACTCTTTTAATTGCGCTTGATAAGTGCGGGGAGGACTTTTTCAATCGTCGTTTGTTCCTTTAATTTATATTGTTCTGCCGGTGGAGGGTGGCGTAACTGAAATTTTGTTTTAAAATCTCTGAAATTCTGGTCTGAAAGATGAGAGAATTTTATATTATATTTTGAGACGTCATGAAGTGTCGACGCTAGATGTTGGACGTTTCCGCGTCCACTTTACGGTCTTTAAACAAATTGTTCCGAGTGCCGATAAGAGTTTTGAGCCGGTCCCCCATCTCCGTTGGCCGATACGTGTTGTCTTTGGCAATTTTTATTCTATTGTCGACGTACGTAAAATCAAATACCATTGTGTACTGTAAAGTATGTAAGAAAATAAAGTGGATGTGGTAAAGTCTAGTGCCAACACAATGTAGTGTCTCAAAATATAACATAAGGTTTCGACACAAAGAAGAATTTTGTTTGATAAACAATAAATTTTGTTTTGAAGTGTTTTTTACACTGGGAAATGCATAAAAAATTCTTGGTTTGACTATCCTAAACAATTGATTTTACTTTCTGCATTTATAATTTCCCTAAAAACGTACAAAAGTCGAGCGTACTCATTGAGCTAGATCTAAATGCTTCCAGTTTACCCAGGATCCACATTGACAAAGGGTACAAGTTCTCTAATCATTAACAGTGGGAAGCTGCGCGCTTCCTTTCTAACTCGTTAAACTACTACAAAAGACCAGGTCCAATGACTCATCTACCTTTGCAGGATACTTCCTGTAAAGGTAGACGAGTCATTGGAGCCATTTGTCACAGATTTTAATTGCATTTTTCTTCTGTTTAAAGTGCATTATTTTGCATTTAATAATAAAATCTGGTGACAATAATACAGTTATACTTTAACTTTTTCCAACAATTTATTTCTATTGTGATTATTGGATGAGGAAAAAAAGATCCTGCATAACAAAGCCAAAACACTACATGATACACAAGGTTGTTGGTTTTTTTTTTTTAAATATGAGGAAAACCGGTTTCCAAGACCTTTTACTCTAGTGTATAATGAATTTAATTGTCACTACCAGTTTTTGTGAGGGTGTGTGAAGACGTATAAATGTCCTATCTCCAAGTATACTATATAGCAGATTTAACATTAAAAATAATTAAATATTAAACAAAGGGGATACTGTTTTACCTGTTTCTTTCTCATTAATGATATCTTTTATGATAATTAATTAGCAATTAATGTTTTCGTCGTTAACTATGTTTTAAATTGAGATTTCGTAATGCCTCCCTTTATCGCTTACTCATTGTTTTCTTAGGAATTAATATAATGTCATTAATTTTTATTGTTATGCAATTGTTTTATTGTAGTTACCTATTAACACTAATGAAGTGGTAGAATTCCTGTGATTCTTTTTATGTACAAATTGTAAGTTATGCGGTTCAGATTCTAGAATTTTAGTTTCTGATTAAAGGGAGTTTTGTTAAGAATAGCTTTAAAATAAATTTGTCGATTACTCGTCTCTCCAATTTTTAGAGCAGATATTCTAGAAATGTTCGACGTCTAAAGCATTTTTTACGTATTTCGTTAAAAATTGCAGTAACCCAATTTTGTTGCGGAACCGTAACTATTCGGCATTACAAAATTTCTTGCCGACGTCGGGAATCTCTGCAATGCAGTTTCAAAGTAAACTGTAAAATGTAGAAATTGAATGGATTTTATAGATTGCTTCTTGGGTAATTGGTAATGGTGTATTAAAATAATTCTGGAATTACATATCCATCATATGGGTCAATATATTATTATTAAGATGTTTTGGTGTTTGTTCTATCCTGTTTGTTGGTAATTGTTCTATCCTTTTGACATCATTATTGATGCAACTCTTTGTGTCTTTATTAAAAATATCATATAGATAAGTTCGTGGAGTTCCACCTTATGTTTATACCATATATCAATATTGGTATCATTAATCCTCTATAAATAATTTCAATAGTCTTAAAACTCATTCCCCATTTTTTTCCTGTAATAGTTCTCAATTTATAAAAACAATAAAGAGCTTTATTACACACATACTCAACATGTGGAGTAATATTTAGGCATTCTCCAACACATATACCCAAATATTTTATAAATGTAACACATCCAATCTTATAACGGGTGGTCGCCGTTTTGCAAGACGCCCTTTCGAGAACATACACTTAGTTTACTTGACAGACAAAAACCATCTTATTAGACTCTAACCAGTTATTAAGAATTTTTAGAGCAAATTGCAACTTTTCCTCCAATTTTCTGTGGCTAACCGTAGGTGTCGACGACACTAAATCTGCATACACAGTATAAACAATTCCAAAGTTTCTCAATTTCCTCAAACATCCATCAGTAAACAAATTCCACAATAAAAGGTCCCAGGACTGAACCCCGAGGTCAACCCCTTGTTAATTTCTTATATACTTTATTGATGCTTCAACTAATACTACCTTTCTATTCTCGAAATAATCGAGAATTATATAATTACAGACCTTTAGGACAAACACATATCTTTAATTCATTTAGCACTGCAGGCCACAATAAATAAATAATCAAATGTACCCTTAATGTTAGTAAAAACACCAAGAACATATTATTTTTTAATACAGTAGAACCTCGAAAACTCGTCCCTTGATAACTTAGCACTCCGGATAACTGGTCCACACCTTGGCAGGGCGAAAAAATCCTTAGTTAATTAATTTTCATTATAGACAGCTTTATAAAAGTATAAAAGCTCTCATAAAGTATAAAAGCTCTCATAAAGCTGAGGAAATACTCGTACTTATTTTTTTTAACCCCATTCCCGATAACTCGGCATTTTCACAAACTCGGCCACCCTTCGGTCCACATTAGGTCGAGTTTTCGAGGTTCTACTGTATCATGTAAAGTGTCCTCTGTCGATAAATGTTTTTTAATGGCTGAAACAATCGAGAATGTACGCGAGGTCTTGGTGGCCGAGTCGAAAACTGCCAAACATTACTAGTTGGACGCGAGTTTGTGCCTTGCTGATGGACCAGTTGCGTGGAATCTTTTGGATTTCCCGTGCGCATAACACCAAAATAAGGACCAGTTTTTCATCTGAACTCCTCACGAGAGACTACCTCTTTTGCAGACTGCGTAAATATCGATTTGCCTTATTCCATCAATCTGATCCAAGAACTTGGTCAAACTATAGAAAAGCACCCTGTGTCTGTCACAAATCTGTATTATGTGTTTGGTATCTTAGATACCAAACACATAATACAGATTTGTGACTGCCGTCAAGGTAATTTGTTTGTACTCTGTGATGGACAATTGGTTCTGAAAATCCAATTTCTGCAGGTGGCTTTGTATGCCAATTTCTTTCTCTTGCATTTGTTAACAGAATAATATTTTTGAGAATGGGTAAATATTGAATACTAGCAGGTAAGCTTGGCATGAAATGTGAAATGGTAAACTAAACGAATCAAATTTCGCAATAAATGGACTATATATTTAAACTCTACACCTTCGAAAATCACTTAAAACATAATTTCTGCTCATTGATAACCTTGTATTATATAATTTTTTCCTGTTCTAATGCCACCATACTGCTGGGTCCGATAGGAAGAAGGTACCGTTGTGAAGGGGGTTGAAGTAAATTTGACCAATACTATTAGTAGTTTTCCTCCCGGAAGAGAGGATGGTCAATGACTAATAATTAATACTGGTCTACTATTAATATTTGAAAAGTGATCCCTGTCAAATAGGTTGTGATGGTCCTGCACGTGATTGAAGTTGCTAACCTTAACATCCAAACGACATCATATAAGACTCGTTTAAATAAATAAATCATGTAAAAATGTGAGAATTGCTTTTACGTGATCCCATAAAAAACTGATGAAACCAGGTTGAAAAGATGAAAGCTTGGCAAAAAACGTCTAAGTAAACAAAACTTGAAAAGTTGTGTCATAAGAATAGTGGACGCAGATTTGACTGAGAGACTCAACATGTGTATAAAGTGTACATTACACAGACAACAACTACAGGAAATTTTGGATGAAGCAGTGTCGTCATGATAATTAATAGGAAAAATAAACATCGGCACAGAAAAAACTTGAAGCTCTACTTTGTGCCTTAAAATTGTTGCATGTACTATACATTAATTTGGCAGAAACATCTCTCAGCAGTATCAGTAGGAAGTTTGGGGCAACAAGTTTATGAGTTAGTTAGGGGAAGATGAAATTGAGAGGGATGGGTGTCCAGGTTTTATGAGAGTTAAGTATGTCCTAGGAAATTTCATGTTTATAGAAAAATTTATTAAAAATAGTTTGGTTTATTTGGTTATGGCAATGCAACACATGGGCCATCTACCAAGGAGAATGCATCCTGTGAAGACTTAAAGTTGATCTCTATTTAGGTGTTATTAACATGAAGAAAACGCAGAAAACTCCCCGTGGCCAATGGATTGGCCACGTGTGAACCCATGGCCAACTACTGGTGTTTGGTGGTTTTATAGACTTGGTTATTGTAGAGTACTTATTGAGCTACAATTTGAAAAAATTGTAAACCTATAAATTCGCACTGTCGTCTGTCTACCTGTCCTCCCTTAATCTCAAGAATGTAGTTAGATAGATGAATGTCGTGACCGGATATGGAAAGCTTAAGAGCAGGAGGCCCAGATTATAAATGTATACAAACTTCTGGTCTTTTTCGGAAATCACGTTTGTCCAGAGAAAAATTTTTGAATTGAAATGAGTTAGCAATAGTGTCGTGTCAGTTATGTATCTAACAGGAAAAGTATGAACTACAGAGGCAAGTGCTATGTGACAGGCATTTATGTTCAAATCCAAAAGTATTTGAACATAATTGCCATATTTTTTAGCAATTGGTTGAATGGTCTAGGTGTGCATAGCGAACAAACATCCTCATATATATGAATAGATGCAGATAATATTTTATAAGCTTGTGGGCTACATATTTTCACGTATGTTGTTAAAACAAGATAATGTGCGTATGCCACTTAACATTATACTGTGACGTAAAAGATAATTACATATGCTGAACGATGAGTGATGTATGCGTTGGAACAAAAAGCAGCCATCATTGCTTAGTTTCAGGTAGCGATAGGTAGCATAAATGACAGACACTACTAAATGTAACATTAAAATACAAACATGTTCCAAGACATCACTACTAGTAGAGGGTGTTTGGCAGAAAAATACTCAACAGCTCTGGAACTGTTGAGTCTGCTGAATGCAGCCATTGTTACTGCATCTCTGACCAGTTAGAACATTTTTTGTTAAATCTTGGTTGCATATTGATTATTGTCTATGGACGGTTCCACAGTCACCATCTTTACTCGAGGACAACTGCGCTTCTCCCAATAAAGTTAACTTCCTGTTAAATAAAATTTTCTGTGACGAATCGGGATAGTCTTCTGCCATTAGAGGCTCGTACAGAGTATTTTGATCAAGTCTTATACAGGGTAATCATAAAGTAACTTGACCAATTAACATTGATCCTGGGAGCATGGAAAGCAAGGAATCCATAGAAACTTTTATAGGCTAAGTACAGGGTGATATGCATTTACAATATACAAAAATGGGGTCAAACATGTGTCATGGTTAGGGTTAATGTCACCGTAACTTGAAAATTTCTCCAATACAAATACCAAGACTTCAATGCCATGAGATTCTGTGTGACAGAAAACAGCATAATGCATTGGAATTATGTATAGAACAAAAAGCAACAGAGATATCGATGTTTTAATGAGAAGACCAGTGAAGACCAGAAGAGGAAAGCCAGTATTCATAATGGAAGATTCATACACATTCACAGACGAGGAAGAAAATGAGAGAATGTTGGCTTTACTGAATTCTGCTTGACAGATGCTTTTATTCCCTGTGGCCAACTCGCTTTAAGCTTGAGATACGATACTGCCACCTCATCCTTGAGCGTGTATGGGTCTTCAGTTGCGGGTATTGACTCGCCCGCTTCCCATCGTTCAAACACCGTTATCCCTGTTGTTTTTCAGTTGCATTAACCACAACTGCTACACGTGTTCGACTCTATTTTTGTGTATTGCAAACACGTCAGTCACTCTCTGCTTATCCCGCAAAAGTTTTAACAGATTCCTTGCTTTCTGCACTACCAAGAATGTCATTACTTAGTCAAGTTACTTTATCACTGCCCTGCATTTTAAATGTTTTCGTGGGGTTATTCTTCTAGATGACAAAATTTTTCTAGATTTACCAGTGCAGACGACCTTGTCTCATAAGATCTGCAAGTCCAGTTTCTAAAACATATAACAGTTTTGTACAATTTAAAACCATTTTGTGTGTTCCTGTTTGTTTTCCTCGGGTAATCTTAAAAAGAAATTTGCTTTACACATTGAAAAAAATTAAATTTTTCTCTCCAAAATAGAAATATCACCTAAAAAATTTGTTTTGTATTCATTTTACTTAAAGAATTTACCACATCCATGACAAAAATAAATTATTTTGGAAAATTAACATCGTAGTTTTCATGACAATTGCTTCAGAGAATTTGAAAGCCTTATACTGTATTCAAATTTCTCAATGTTTTTTTTTCTTTTCTGTTAGGTATGGCTCACGTCGGACAGAAATGTTTTCTAAGCAACTTTTGTAGGGGGAAAAATACGTATTGCGATAACGACAGTATCTGTCGATGTCTTCCGGACTTTCCGGTCCTAGTTTCGCCACACAACTGTAGAAAACGTAAGTATGTTACTTCTGTTATGTTCGACCTGTTGGGTATCAAAAAACAATTTATGTTTTAGGACGGATTAACCCAGTGGTAATAAATGGTGATCATTATTTATATTCCAAGTCTCCTTCCATTTGAAATGGCAAAAGAAAATACGTAAAGTGATAAACTGGGAAAAAAGTTTTCATGTTGTAGTGATCCTGTGGCACCTGACATGGGTTAAATTGCATGTATGCTTTTGAGATATTGTTGTGAGATACTAAAGATGTGTTAATGTCGACTAGTCTTTAGTGTGCATTCAAACAAAATTTCAATCAGATCCGTCCATGTGGCACCCAACTCGTGATTTGCAAAACATGTCTGTACATTTGGGCATTTTGATCTCCGAATTGCATATTAACGGATTCTTTATAAATTATTTCTTAGCTCGCAAGTATGGTGCCAAGTGTGAGTTTCCAGAGGAGTGTAGCTACCACGACAAGAATTCCTATTGTACGCAGTGGCCCTACCGCAGCATCTGTGAATGTCTAAATGATTATATTTATAACAAAGAAAAAGAAATATGTGTAAAAGGTGAGAAATTGTTTTTTTTGTATTTACATTGGTGTTTTATTATATTGTGGCCATGCCTGATTAAAGTCTTTCGTCTTTTGACAGTAATGTCTACCAGAGAAGACCGGCAGAGTCTCGTCCTGCCAACGATACTCGGAATTTCACTGGCAGCGGCCTGCATCATGTGTTGTTGCCTGGCCCTTTGGCAGTTTTGTCTCAGGTAAGTTTCTATTATTTATTTATACAACTTTGTAAATCGTTATGTTGCATAATACAGAAACAGGCATACAATGTATGTGATATAAATTGGTAGAAAATAATCTTACAAATCTGTTTTCAGCCGCCAGTCTCGAGAAGATAACAGATTTTTAAGAAGATTCAGAAGAAACAGACAGGAAAACACCACAAACGAAAACGAGAGGGATGTTCCATCTCGTTACGACGATGCTCTTCCTCCTTACGAAATGATTATCAGAGAGGTAATTTCTTTGCCGTCTTACAAATCACAACACAAAATGCATTGTTTTTTCTATCAATTTAAAAGGTGAGAAATCTTTTGATTAAACTCAGCTTTTCTGTTGCAGAATCAGATGCATTCTTCGGTGGATGAACTGCCACCCAGTTACAACGAAGTAATGAAACAGGTGGAAATGGAAATCAAGCCTAAATAAATTACCAAAGGAAATGTATATGGCAAACCAAGAAACAAAGTACAATATATTGTAAACTATTTTGTAGTAATGTACGCTCATTGTATATACTTACGTAGCTTATGTAATTTTTCCATGAGAGCGTTTCCATGGTGTGACTTTGGTCTCTCTTAGAGACATTTCGGTCAAAGACGCCATACTTTCCATGGCACGCAGTCCTGTGCATATTTAGATTTTTCCGAAGAGATGCACGAGCACCTTTCGATTCAAACATCGTAAGTGATGCTTAAGTATGCTCCAACCTTGCGAATATGCCAAATCAATTTAATATTTGGCAAGGAGACCAAATTCTATATAGGGTTATTTAGGGTGTCTCATTTTAATCTTGTGTATTATTGCCCTCTAAAAAAACACACCAGTGCAATTATTATGGGGTATTTTCGAAAGAAATGTTATAGCTCCTACCTTGCGAGATAGAAGGAAATCGTTTTGTTTGTATAGAAGAGTGAAAAACCAAGTATGAGACAGCTATTTTCATTTACTGACCTGTGATAAGAGATTATTTCTTCCAAAAAAATCCAAATCGTTTACCATTGTTAATGTTGTGAAACAACACAAAACTCTATAGTATAAATGTGAATCGAAGATCTGGAAAATCAAACACCGTTTTAATTAGAGGTGTTTAATTCTTTGCCAAATTTTATCCAACTTTGTACACTTTTAGAGTGCAATACTCCATTTCTAATTTTTAACATAGTAATGTAAAGTGTTGTGTAACATAAAGGATATTTTTAGAACTTTTATATATCTAAACACTGAGATGTTAAACAAATTCTGAAAATTTTATAACTCGAAAAGAGTTACGCTTTCTCGCCTAGATTGAGACTCTAGCGTGCCATTGCGGGCAGAATCTTGCATTTTTTGTAACAAAGAAAATGGAACCGTCTTTGCCAAATTTGACGACTGTAAACTTTTCATATATGTCATTAAAAGTTTTATTTTCTATATACTGTCGTATTTAGTTGCTTTGCATATATATAATTCTTTTTAATAGTAACTGATAGATTATCCTGGATATAGGAAAGTCATATTGGAATGAAAAAGACTCATAGTCACAATAGCTGACCTGCTAGGTACAGCTCTGAAAACATAATTCCACGACAGACTCAAAAAACTGAAAATTTATGACAACCTACTAATTACAAAATAATATTTAATAAAGGTACTATACAAATTTAAATACACTACTAAGATTCGCTGTAATCCTGTAAAATGTCACTCATGTGTTCATTGTGTTTCTTGAACGTGCGCGGCTTTTTACTCGTCGGCTTCTTTCTCTTTTGCAGAGGCACCTTAAGAAGCAACGACAACTTTACATCCGGTTTACCCAAACGGTAAGTAACAATTCACACCAAAAAATACTTACAACTTTCTTGATTCCTAAATCTTGCATGGAGGTAATTCCTTGCCTCTGAAGATATTCCTCTATTTTCTGATCGTCGATTCCGTCCACTGCTACGCTTCTCCACAGTTTTTGAAATTCTAATTTATGGAAAACAATGTAATCAGTTATTTATATCAAAATTTTGTATCTACTAGAAATAAACAAGGTTTATATATTAATTGCTTTTTCTGATAAAATGTATGCCTGTTATGAATACCTTAAACTGGAAACAAGTGGAGTTTAATGATTTAAAATTAACTTTGCCCCCCCCAGATAAAGTATAGAACTGGCATAAAACCCGACTTGAATGATATGTAATTTTGGAATTGTGTTTCTGGACTGGAATTTCTATCATAAACTGAAGATAAAGCAACAAATAAATTTACTATTACATACAGAAAAGTTAATATTGCACAGGTTTAGAATTAGGCTGTACATTTATTTGCTTCACCATTTCTACTACTCTTCAAACACTTTGTTGGCCAGAATAGGGTCGGCTACCAGTAGAGAGTTTTTGCATCACATTTAATACTTGCACTTGTCCGTGCAGGATGGATTACACACTACCAAGCCAACGGATATCCATGCCAACAAATGATGAGTATCGGGAACGGGATTCTAGGTGCAGCAGACAGGATTTGAGGTACTCCCGGAATCTTTGAAAGAGTCCAACGATCGTCAGTTCACTGCTCTGAGCTACATTTACAAGTATTAAAATAGTGGCCACTTTGAGAATCTCCCATGCAAGGTGGGCAGGCAACCGCTTTATCTGGCATAGTAAAGCAATGCATTGCATGTGGTATGGCACTTCTGACTAACATCACCTACTGTAGTAATTTTTATTCTCCAGATTCTACACTAACAGAAAATGTTCATTCCTCCAACTCTACCACCTCTTAAGATTAATGCAAGGATTCTATATAGCAAAGATTCAAATCATTTATACATTATGCTATAACCATGGTGATTATATCAATATATATTGTTGTGAATGTGTCTAATGAAACCCCCAGTGAAATCATTGCAACTGAACCCTATACAAAAATTTCTATCATTTCCAGTAATGTTTTTAGCCCATGGATCCATTCCTAACTCTACTTTTTTACAGTGATGAATAACACTTAAACAGTTCAGATTCCACAAGATTTAAACATGGAAATATTCTAAAGAAATAAGGATAAAATTTTCAGTATCTTTTTATTAATTCTCATATTTCTTAAATGCAATCATCAGGCAAAATTTTATAATACTTTCATTTCAGAACACTATATAAATTGCTACCATTATGAATTATATTAATTATTATCCAAGAAGTATGTGACATACACAGATTGAGAGAGTAACTGTCTGAGTTTTGTCTCCCATCGTGTTCGAACATCTCTTGTCCACCACCTCAAAGAAGCACCATAAATGAAAACAGTTACTCTGCAATAGAGTTGTTTTGTGTTCTGCAGTTCGCAAAGTCGCTCGTCATTGTGCAACACGAGTAATCTTCGGGAGCTGTAAAATTGTGGATGCCACAGAAGGAGTGGCAATGGATATTCTGTAGCAAGTGTAGCATGAATTTGAGTATTTATTTGAAGTATGCAATGCAACATGAGGTGCACATGTTGAGAAATATTGGGCAAACGAAAAACTTGTAATGCACATTAAAACATTGGAAAACTGCCAACATTCTCAGATAATTTAAAGTGGTAACAATATTAATTATTTTAATATTCTTTTTGGAAGACCCTGTGTATATTTTGTATTTGTATAGTGAATTACATGAAGATTAACAGAAGCAATTTCCATATATTGTAAATCAAAATCTACTTTACACAATAAACCTTTTCAGCATGTATTTTTATTCGTGTTGACAATTATTTATAGTAATATCAGAAATGATTAACCAATTATATAGCCCACAATATTCTGCAATCTTGTATTTATGCTTTCACAACTACAATAACATCTTTTGTTTTAAAGAATGACCCACAATAGGGTTGACTAGCATAAATGAAGGAAAGGGAATGATATTTTAGTATTAAATATGGGTCAGAGAAAGTTATTGGTTTCATTGTATGGATCTAACAGCTTAATGCAATTTTCATAACCTTTTGCTATGTAATCTTTATAACTATTTGTATTATTTTAAAACAACAAAAAATATTTGAAGAATTTGTATGGCAGTGAGCTGAAAAAATACATATTAACCAGATATAAACTACAAAGCCAAATACTCTAACCGTCTTGAGATCGATAATATACACAGAATAAACTGTTAGATGAATCCCATGTATAGAAACAATGTATCCATCATCTGTTTTGCAAATAGATTATTCAGACATCTTTCTGATAATATATTTCATTAGCTTATGGCTACAGGATAGGATTCAGACCCCATAAAATCATAAATACTCATCTCTAGTCCTCCTCTTTTCTCTCTCGCTATAGTCTATCTATAGAAAGAACCAACTAGAGCAATGTCACTTCAGTTAAACGACTAAGCACATCCCTTAATGACATTGGCACTTTTCATTTAATATGTCAGGCAGTGTGTGATTTTATTTTATTTTCTCTCACTGGATGGTAGGACGACTTTTCCGTTATATGTTAATATTTTATATCATTCGTTAACTGTACACAATCATACATTTAACAATTACTATACTTATTCCAATACGAGAATGTGAAGCTTTCATATCAGTTTTTAATGGTGGTGATGTGTTTAACATAGGAAGAAACCAGAAGTAACTTGCCACAACTAAGCAATCAATAGCTGATGCTCATTAGTTAATTAATACCCAATTTGATTCTTTCAATAGACTGTAAATATGGAACAGTATCTCCTGTCTACAATGAAAAGGTCATTGATTATGACATAATCATGTATAGCCTTAACATGCTAGTGTATTACATCAACTAATTAATCAATCATTTCATAAACAAAGTAATTTTATGTAACTTTGGAATTTTAAATATCTGCTTGTGAAAATCGATTGCTTGTGACTTTAGCAATTGATTAAATCGTGTACACGCTGCCACAGGACACCCATACGCACATTTTCAAATATTAATTTTGTCACAACAATGTGCATGTGAAATGTCCATTGTAGAGATCAATGTAAACTCTTTCGATATACGTGCGACCAGCATAAAACCAGAACTCAAACTATAGACTGTACGCGGCAAATTTTAACCTCGAGTATCACAACTCGTAGATCAAATTTCAAAATTCTGGCTTCCTGGTGACATCGCCTGGCCAAGTTACATATGTAATATGTTACGAAATGATAGAGCTACTTTGAAAATAATGATATTAATAAAGAAATAAATATCACACATTATGAAAGAATAGAAAAAATTGATTATTGATTTATGTCGTCATNTTTGCCGATCACAAATGCATACGCAAACAAACGTATAATAATCTCCTTTGCGATTATTAAATTAAAAATGCAATTTGTGGAATGAGCGGTCTTCATTTCCTTCTCTTCAGTCTAAGATCTCCAAATCGTACGTGTTCAAAACATAAATGAACAGAAAAATACAGAAAAATACACTGAAACAACACAATGAAAATGTATTTTTGTTCCACAAGAGAATAAAGAATGCTGCTTAATGTGTTCCCCATCATTTGAGTATAGAATTTGAAGACTATGAACAGAGAACATTATTTGTAATGTTTAAAATAACACATTAAAATGTCACTTTAAGGTTGATCTTCATTATTTACTGTGTTTTGTTTGCATATTGTATACAAATTTTGGCATCAGAGTGCTCTGAATAGAGAAAACTTTATATACAGGCTGACCATAATTAAAGTAATAAATCTTCCATTTTGAGTGGAAGAGTGGTGAAGTTGTTTATGTTCCTGTAAAGAAGATCGTGTTAAGGTATTATTTTTGAGGCATTTTATAACTTGGCGTAATTAAATGATTTAGAATCGTCTTACANTGTCTATAATGAAAATTAATTAACTAAGGATTTTTCTGCCCTGCCAGGGTGTGGTCGAGTTATCCGGAGTGCCGGGTTATCGAGAGCCGAGTTTTCGAGGTTCTACTGTATACTTATCCCAAAATGATACAGCCACTTCAACATTTAAATAATAATTGAAATTATTTATCATTAATAGGCAATATGTCCACCTTGTTTATTAAATACTTTGTATACACCATCTAGCATATTTTTAATATGCTAGATGGTGTTGCAATTGGCCCAAAGACTTTACATGGTAAATTTTAACATAGAATATCTTGGTCCATAGATCAAATTTGAAAATTCCAGCTTTGTTATGACATCAAATTATCAAGTTCTAAATATTTGCAAAAACTCATGTTTAATAGTCATGTGGTTGCTTGAACTTTGATCACAGACAAAGCACTTTCTAACTTATGAAGAGCTTTGCTTACGCTCCACTCAATAACAGGAATACTCTGTTACTGAAAAACTGCAAAACTTAGAGGCAGCCATATATGGTCTACATCAGGGGTGGTGAACCTTTGGCACAGAGGGAGAAATCATCTGTTATGGGGCATATCACACTATTTCATTTTATCATCTGTCTTTTTCAATCAGCTTCTTTACATTTCTTCTAATTAAAGCACATTTATTTAATTTCTTTAAATATCGTTATTCAAAGGCAAAAACTTCAGTGCACAAACATTTTTAAAGGTAAATATGCTTACTATTTGGCATACACCCTCAAAAAGGTCATTATCACTGGTCTATACACACAATATATCGTGTGATCATAAAGTCCTTCCACAATGGACCACACCAATGTGGCTTGGCCAAGTGGTGACATAATAACCTACTTTAACTCTTTTGATATGCCTGAAACATCATTACTTCATTCTTAGAAGCTCCTATCATTACCAAGTGTCATGCTGCATAATGCCAAAATAGCCAGTTGGTGATATAAACCCAATTCCAGCTATTTCAACATTCAGTGTAAAATTGAATCACATGGTACGCTTTAGGAAAAAAATCGGAATGTCGAGTTGCGGTGCACTGGGAGTCCCATGCACTACATACCTAAAAATGTCATGATGCCATGCGGTAAATAACTTAATACTATTCTTAAACAAAGGAGGTTTCATCTTTTGAATAAAAATTATTGCATCATAGATCAGTATTAAAAGACTGTAATAAATAATATTTACCTTCCTCTACTGTATAATGTAAAGTTTTGTCATTATAAAACAGAACCTTCTTTTTGTCAATTGGTCTTGTTACGGTAATCACACAATCTCCAATTATCTAAATTATAGTTGAAGTTCGTAAGAAATTATATTCGTAAGTTGAAAAACAAAGCTTCAGAATTTAATTAGAAAAATATTTTGTAATTTAATGTATTTTAAGTAATTTAATTGTCTTACTTTAATAATTTTGTCTGCATGCGAAACAGATTCTTGTACGTCTTCCAATAAAATTCCACCCAGTCCTCTTTGGTCGTGTTTATCTAATAATCTTAATAGTGATTTTCTGTCTTTGATGTTGTATGCCGGTTTAAAGGCATATTTTCCCTCCGGTAAGCACAGAATTTTTGGATTGTTTGCCAAAGCCTGTATAAACATTAATAAAAAAAGTTTATATTTTTACTTAAAAGTAATAAATAAATATACAAATTATTAAATGGCTAATTATAATTAAATTTATTTAATGGCTCAGTCATGTTGAAAGAATAGATGGTATCTTAAATAATTCTTAAAGGATCTTTCCCATAACAAATTCTACAGCCATAAGAAAAAACAAAACATAGTCTAAGAGAAACCTCTTTGTCCTAACTAGACACAGACAAAAAACATGATATGACTAACTTAAAACAATTAGTAGAAAGTAATCTAGTAGACTTGATAAAAAGGAAAATAGAATTTATAATATTTGCTAAGTAATAAAGATAATTATGATGTGCTGACCAACGTCTGAATTTCATACTTTGCCAGTCATGGCTGGCAAAGTATGAAATTCAGATAGATAGTAATTTAGCTCTCTTATATTATTATTCTCATACATTCACAAAAGCAAAGCTAATAGAATCTAGCAGAAAGATTGCACATTTAAGTATCATTTTACTTAAGAAAGCTTTATAATAAACAATAAATATAGAAAATTTGAATAAAACTTTTATTACCTCAGTCATGAGCCAATGACGTTGTCTGCTTCCAATATTTAACTGATTTGTTTCGTCCAAAATCTCTTCTAAAGATAAAGCGTGTGTATCTCCATCTAAATGTCTTTGCTGTAAAATTAATGAAAAAATATATTGAATATTTTATCAGAAGCATCCAAATCTCAAAAATAAAGTATTTTAAGCCACATAAGAAGTATCAAAGTTTGACCTTTTGTCTCATAGAACAACAATTGCCTATCTTTCTGACCTCACAGACCACTAAACTCACAATTTCGAATCCCGCGGACCAATATCGTGAATTTATTTAAATGATACAAACAGTAGAGTAATCATCACAAAAGTTCCATTTTACTTTATTAATATAAAATTCACTTGTTTAATTATAACAAATTAGTGTAAAGTTCGTTGCTACTTGTGAGCCTGCAAGCCTATCTACGGGCCTGAGCAGAGGAATGAGTGAATTTCGTGCAAAATTACGACTTTGTAATTTAATTTCGTAATGCGATTGTTATAAAAAAACATCACTCTAGAAGGGATCAGATGACATTCTCTCTAAACAAACAGAGAGGAATTTTGACAACAATATGACAAAAGGAAAACATTCAATTGTGAAAGAGGGACAGCTGCTATTACATGTCATTGGAAAAAACCTGCCCACACCTGGGAATGAACCTTCAACATGTCAATAGTCGATTACATGATCATTTTCCCAGGCATCAAGCATAAAAAGTGGAGACACCGAAGTTCCAGGCAGTTGTCCCATACGAAATCCAAAGGAAGGTGAATAGATTAATTGGTGCCTGGAGTAATCAATGACTAGGTGCCAAGTTCAACAGACCTCCAAAAACAGACTGTCCCGGCCCATGCAAGTCAATGATAAGAATATCCGTCATACAATTGCCATCCTCTTCGAATTACTCTCTCTCCAATCAAATGAATGTCATCTAATTTGACAAACGAATATTGAGGTATCTATAGATTCTTGTAAACTCTCTCTCAGCAGTAGTAGTGACAGAGCTAGGTCATTATGCACATAATGCGAGCTGATCAGAAACTTTTGTCAATCCCCTCCAGAGGAGTGTATATGTAACCTCATTTAACTGCATCTAACTTAGGCTTAGTTTTATGTATCATAGGTTTTGTTATATAATAAATTCCTGTTGTTGTCTGTTAAAAACCTGTCTCCTGTCACTCCAAAACACGGACACCTGTTGACTTTCCCAACCCCCTCGCCACTCGAAAAAAAGCCATCCCAAAGACAAAATGAGCGAGTTTTACCAACTCAACGATTAGAGGGCTCAGTCCCTTTGCCCGTATTCTCACACTACTTGTATGAAATAAGTTTGTGAATGCTTGGCTCTTTTCCACAAAGGATGACAATTGCACTCACAACATTGTTTATTGATTTATTGGCATTATTGATAACAGTCATTTCATGTTTAGTTTTAAATTTGAATAAAAAAGCACCTCTGAGTGATAAAAAGCAACCAAGAATTTTGCGTTTCCTTTTGAATACTTTGCATAACCTCAAGTTGATCAATGTCCAAATTTCTCCACTGACCATCAATTGGTAATCGCTGTCATAGAATATTGTGTTGCAACAGTCTTAAGACTGTTGTAATGGCTCAATCTCATTTCTGTCTCATGAGTAATGTCTCGGTTTCACTGTAGTGGTTTGTATATGTCCATATTCCCTTTTTATTTATTTATTTGCTTGACATTTTATTTCATTTTATAGTATTAACAGTATCGGTATCAAGCTTTGCAAATGTCCTTAATTTTGCTATTATTTCAGTTTTATAAATAATTGGTGTCATAGGAACAGATTTTTCATCCGGTCAGTGACATATTATAACTTCAAGTTAGTGGAACTGGAGGCAAATTGACCTTGCTCAGTAGAAATCAAAGCTGGACTGGAAAATATTTTTTTAGACATAAAATTACTCGGAGTTTCGATAATTTTGAAGTGGAGAAAGGGTATTTTCTATATATAATTAAATGGCTCAGGCGCAAAACGTAATAAGCCCCACAAACAATTTAAAAAATATCATATTTAAACATATTGATTTCAGGATTTGTTTAAAGATTTAAATGTGATATTTCTTAAATTCTTCTTTGCATGGCTTATCACCTTTTGCAGCCACACCATTCGATTGTAAGGTATCTTGTATCAAACATTTGATAAATACACTTCTAATTCTAAAACAACTTTCCAAGTTTTAAGTTTATTAGTGATCATAAATATAATTAATTTAAGAATATAGAAAAGTCACTTAGTCAGGCAAACTGTTATCAGACAGTCAAAAATCGTTAAAGAGAAATGTACTGGCATTGGATAATGACCAATGCTTTAACTTATATTCGCGGTATCGTCAAAAACACTTTAAATTTAGTTTAATGAAATTATTTGTGATTCTCTGTACTTTCTTCATAATATATATTATATAATATAAATATACAATGCATAAAATGTTTCTTACCTTCATGTGCTTAACTATTTTAGCCAAAACACTAAAATTATATTGTGAAGATAATGTCATATTCTTATAGCTATACATATCTGTAAAACAGAAAATTATATAATATATAAAATAATGCTTTATATACATGCTCTATATTAAAAAAATTTTATATTCAAATTGAATAATATATATTAAATTAATTAAAAACATCAAACCTTTGGGTTTTGAAGAATTGGACTTCTGTTTCTTTTTTGAAGGTGCATCATTTGACCCGGTGTCTTTTTTCCGATTCTCGATGACAGGCGTGGCAAGAGCCCTTCGTTTAAATGCCTCCCTTTCCTTTAAAAGTGCCGGGTCCATCTTTATTTTCAAATCTCTGTAACAAAAATTGGATTTTAAATAATTCACAACAAAAAAAAATAATTTTTTGATGGACACAATAGAAATATAATATCGTTCTTCTCCCTTTGTTTCTATTGCATATCATTACATCAAATTTAGAGTACATTATATCATCTTGCATTCTAAGTATTGTAGTACTTCCCATTTCATTCATATCTATTATTTATAGTTGCAGTATTACAAGTCTATTAAATATATAAATAAATATATCAATGGTACGGTTTATTTTTAATAGTTAAAAAAAAGTTTACATAATATTTGTTATAGTGAAATACATGAGGCAATCACATCTACTAATTTATTATATTAATTAATATCACTTTTATTTCATTTTTTTAATATACTAATCTACAGTTTCTTACAACATAGTAAAGTAAGGAAAAGGCTTTTAATGAGCCTCCTCTATACTGTCCAAATCTTATTAAATGAAAAATTGATACATTTTTTGATACTTTACTGTGTTGTAAGAAACTGTAGATTAATACATTAGACCACCAATCAAAATAACAAAAGAGATAGGCGATACAGCAATTTTGGTGGGTTGCTTGTATTGTAATATCTCTCTTGTGTTCTTTGAGGTGATGAGATAATGTTCCAACAATCGACACTGCTAGAACCCCAAGACAATGTGCTTGAGTGAAATCTTGTATATGATGACCTGTATAGTGCCTCGTAAGGATCACTATTATTACTCGGTAGTCTCCACAGATTAGATCGTGGACTGATAGGGAGATATAATTGTATAAACTTTAACAAGCATATAATTAGTAAAGGTACGCTGCCCGAGTAAGTTATTGTCATTCTCAGACAGTCCACTTACCTCTTATCACATATAGTGGTAACAAGAAAGAGAGAGCAAAAGTTTTTAGTTTGAATATTTGAATTTTTCTATTGAGTAATTGACATTGGTGATGGCAATAATGACATGTTTCAATCCTTCTACAGTTTATTGTTGATTAAAAAAGTAGATAGGCCTTATGGATTAATGCATATTGCAGCATTTTTGTACATACTTGGCTGAAATAACAATGAAGATACTACGAATTTGTGATAAATGCCAAATTACCCTTCCAATCAAAAACAAACCACAGAGGAATTAAAGCGTGTCATTACTGCCCTCACAATGCTAGTTAGTACATAGCAAAATCTGAATACCTGAACCATAGGGTTTTATTCTCTCTTCTTTCCTGTTTCCACTACGCATGATAAGAAGCAAATGGAGCATCTGGGTATAATAATTCCTTACTTGGGCAATATATCTTTAGCACTTACACACTAATGTTCATACAATTAACTCTCTCAATCGAGCCAAATCCAACTTGAGACTATTGTGTGACAACAGAGACCCTGGAGAGATCAAGAATATATTAGATTCCGCTCAAACACAGCATCTAGGATATTATAACATACTATATAGTGGCGACTATCAGAACACTATCTCATCAGCTGAAAGAACACCAAAGACACACATTACAATGCCAACCACAATAATCCTCTTTCAAGAATAAACAATGGTTAGCTTTGAAATACTTCAGTAGTTCAAACAATGTTTACTGTTAACTTGGTTCTAGCAAGCACACTATTGTGACTAGATGATCAGACTTCAATCTATCATATTTAAAGTAAACTTGGCCTTACAGCACCCAAATTACTGTTTTCTAGGTGAATCCTTACAGAAATCTATAGATAAGTTGCTTTTATAGAATCCAAACCAGAAAATTCTAAACAACAAGCATGATGTTATAAGCACAATCCTTATCAAGTCAGCATGTTTATCTTACTTCTAATTTAATAATGAAAAAGTGGATTATCAAATATGAGATACTTATTGAGAGCAGCATTAATGTATGAACCATTATACATTAGAGAGGTTGAGGCGCACGTTTTAAACGTGTAAACGTGTACGTGTGACATTTGGCGCCGCTTTCCCTTAAGCCTAAAAGTTTGACAATGGTGTTTGGATAGTCGGTGGAATCACGCTCGACATTCCAAACATCATCGTCAAACTTTTAGGCTTACGGGAAAGCGGCGCCGAACGTCACACGTACACGTTTACACGTTTAAAACGTGCGCCTCAACCTCTCTATTAACATTTTTATTTTATTATAATACACTACATATTAACATAATTACTGTTTTTATTACGAGCAAGTCTGGATCCAAGTCCGTGAAATTTTAGGATTCAAATTAAGACAACAGTCGACTCCTACATTAATGATACAACACTTGACAACATGGTAATGTTGACAGTAAAAAATTATAAATTTGCTAATTTTTGCTACAGCAATCTCCGTAATCAAAATCTACAGGTGTTGCTACCATAATAACTCCAAATCAGAATAATCATGTAATATTTGAAGTAGCAAATAATTAAATTTGTTATAACAAAAATTTGTTTTTTTATGTAAAAACCTATTTAAATTCAGATCATAACAAATGATAATGATACAGTGACATCACTATGACTGCTGTGACTAAGACAAATCGATATGACTGATACAGTCATAATTCTTACAGTCAGTATAGATAAGAATTGCATTTAGTATCATATCACACTAAGAAACACTGTGTTACTAAACAGAGACTCAACTCACTTAAAAGTGCATACAGACCAACTTTGTGAGCCATTCTACTATAGTTCACGAAGCTGGTGTAGAAGGGTGTTTGCAAACAGTTCTAAAACAGACTGGGAATTTGTAGCAAGGTCACTTTTGAGGTAGTACATCGAAGAGTTTGTTCTGAAATCCCTGGAAAACTTACAAACAAAATGCCAAGAGTCATTCCGAAACATGTAAACTTTTGGCGAAGATATTGCGCTCACAAGCAACTCACAAACTTCTAACTTCAATCTGTAAACAGTTTAAAACTCATTTATATCGAGTCTCTCTTTCCCATGTCTCAAGTAACAAAAAATTGTACTTGTCCATCTTTACTTCGACTTGTGATCAAATTATCGCTTTTAACAATGGCAAAAAAATAAAATAAAGATAAGTAAATGGAATGGTACAAATGCAGCCACAAACAACGCAGTCTGGAGCTTATTGGAGCAGTAGACCACATCTATAAGAGTAAAAAGTCAGAGAAACCAACAGTCTTCATGCAACTCTGAGATATACACCACCCTAAATCAGTCCATCTGAAATTTTGAAGACCTTCAAAACTGGGGTGAAATCTAAGTGAAAAATCTGAAACCATTTCTCAAAATAATGCCAAAAATCCAAAGTTTTCCACTTTACCATAGGTTGGTAGGTTGGTTAGAATTTATTGGCGCAAGGGCCACATAAGTCAAGCTGCGCCATGTCAAATGGTATAATTGTATAATCTAATAAATAAATAAAATTAATATATAATGTAAAACAAAAAAAAATTAAAAAATGACAAAAAAACAAATAACGAAAACATATAACAGTACAAATGTATATAACAATAACATATATATATAAATAAAAAATAAATAATTAAATCTGTTTATGAATATTTATGACTTTCAGAAAGTTCAATAATTTATGAAGTTTTGGCCCATGGCCCAGAATCTCTGAAAAACATGCATTTCTGTAATGTTGTCTACAAATCCTCTCAGAGGCAATGCAGTTGCACAGTATGTGCTTAACACTTACACTACAATTGCAATATTGGCTGGTCATCATCCTTCGAAAGGTATTGATGAGTCAACCGAGTATGTACAATTCTCAAACGGGTAAGGATAACCTCAGATCTCCTTTCATATACTGCGTTGCGTGTCCAATTTTCCACTTTACCACAGTCTTTGCAGAAAAACAGTAGACAGGAGTAGGCCCAAGCGGGAAGGGTCTACGTCGGACGAAAGACGCATAAAAGTTGATGCACAGATCAGATCTCTTTCGACCGTTTTGTCTTTTTAAACATTTTTACGCTCTCTTTATAATAAATAATTTTCATGTTTTATATACTTTTACAAAGTTTAATACCGTGATCAATGCATCAACTACCACACGTCTTTCAACCGACACAGACTGGTGTCAACCTAAGAGTGGACATAAGACACAATATCTTGAAAAGAATGACAATTAGAAGTATGGTTCCTCATTTTTGGTCGAGGGGGCTATAAGATTTGGGGACCAAACCCCTCATTTACAACTGTAATATTACTAATAGAGACTGTTGTGTAATCCCCTGTAATATTACCAATAGAGACTGTTGTGTAACCCCCCAGAGGGGGTTACACAACAGTCTTTATTGGTAATATTACAGTCTCTATTGGTCCTCGTGACTGTTGTGTAACCCCCAGGACTTCGCCCCCCTCTGGGGGTGGCAAAGTCCTCGTTCAGAGTTTACATCTCATCATCAACAAATGACATTTAAGTTTAAAAATAAATCTTCTCCATTTGTCTAAAGAAACGTTTTAATTAGACCAAGCTTAATATAAGGTTATCAAAACAATAAAATCACTTATTAAATGTAAATAAAACAAAATATTCGACAGACCTCACAAAACCAAACGAACTCCGACTGCTGAACGGAAACAGGAAATAAAGCGCTACCTAGTCTCGCGTAGCAAAATAAAATTATCGTAATTAAAAAAGAAAGATGGAGATTTATTCACTTCGTAGCTTTAATTAGAATCGATTTTTAATAAATAATATAAATAGAAATTATTATATTTTAGTTTATTCAATAATTTTTATTATTATTATTTTTCTTTTATAATGACGAGAAGTGGCGCTGTAAACGGAGAACAAAGCGTCATAAATGGCGGATGAGTGGTGAAGTTGTTTATGTTCCTGTAAAGAAGATCGTGTTAAGGTATTATTTTTGAGGCATTTTATAACTTGGCGTAATTAAATGATTTAGAATCGTCTTACAGTTATTTATGAAGACGAAATGATCCATCGATGGTTAAATTAGCCATGAAAATGATCGGTTTACGTTCGACGACCCCTGAATTACTGCTTCTCCGCGGTACTTAATTGATTAGGAGGTACAGTACAAATGCAGGTCACGTGTGGAGGGGGGTTACCCCTCCACACGTGACCTGCATTTGTACCATGTAATGAATTAGATTGCAATATGTAGTGAAGAGATAAATCTGTATACCACTAACATTAAAAAAGCATGCGATTCCCTTCCCCTGTTAAACTGTATGCATAATTAGCGGATGGCTCTTTTCTCAGTTTTTGGTCGTACTAATCCTACTGTGAGTCTGGCTTGTCTGCGGTGGGTGAAATTGTGGCCCGCTGCATCGCTTGATGCTTTCCTTAAAAAATTGTAGATGAATTCTTCTGGAATTACTGTAAATTGATGGTTAATTGCCAGTGTATGTATCGGGGTGGTGTGAAAATCTAAGGCCTGCCGGCCGACATTGTGTTAGCTCGAGTGTTATATTTCGACATCTTGCATCTGTTTATATACGTGCTACTGGGTTGTACGTAGTTGAATGTATTGATGTATCCCAATGCACTCGTTTAACACAATAGCATATAGTTAAACACTACACTATCATCTACGAGAAACTAAGTTAATAAGGTTTAAATTTGATTAATTTCCTTTGAGTGCATTTGTATTGTAGATTAAAAATAGTGCACTATCTGTCGTATACGTTACGACTAAAGCTCGTGAATCGGATAAAACTGAGATTAACTGTAATACTTTATCTGTATAAATCACATTTTACCAAAGTTAAAATTAATAGGTTATTATTATTTGCTTTTATCAAAACACGGGATAAAGTTCTCGTAGTCTTGTAAACGCAGGTTAAAACTTGCCATTTCAGATCAATAATCTGCAAAAGACCCAGAATTTTTGGGACACTTTGCAACTCTAAGATGACGGCATAAGGAGGACATGTTGATTATCTTTTCATGTAGTCACGTGCAATAGCAAGTCGCTCGTGATACTAAAATGCGAGACGTTAATATCTTGGAAACAGTTGAGTTATTTGAGTTATGATGTGTACTATCTATCATATAAATGCTGGAAAATTTTTTTAGCACCCTATATAGTGTGTATGTGTGCGCATGTACATTGTGTATATATATATACACAAACACATTTGCTATATTGTTATTGGTGATAATATATGTATATATAATAATCTGTAATGTGTTATGAGTTCATTAATCAGATATATTAAGACTGAATTTAACAGTATTTTAAAATTTATTATCAAAATTAGATTGGAAGCCGACATTTACTAAATCATCATAAATTGAAAGTAAGTTACACGATTACTTTCGAAGAAAAATTGGATTTAAAAATTCATGCACCAAAAGTTTTGGATTTTTAATTAATTTGAAAGATAAAAAGTAAAGAATGGGAGATCAAGAAGAAAGCCAAAAGCCCTCCCAGTTGCCTCTGTATGAAGGAATGTTCAAAGACAGATACACCGAAAGAGATGCAGAGTTCGTCAAACTGAAAGAGACTCCCCTTCCTCCTCCGCCGGTCGTCTATCCTTGGGAACAGTTTAAACGATCCAGGTAATTTGTAATTTCTATCTTTTATCTAGCAAGATGGTCTATTGTGCTATAACGTTCTAAGTTTTATTTTTGCATATGTATTGTCTTATTGTCATTCAGTTTTGTTCTATAGGTATTTTCTAATTGAACAGACAGTTCTGTACTACAAGATAACACACACACACACACACTTCTCTAATCTGAGTCATTATACCTGTTTGGCCCTAGCCAAATGATTCAGTTGTAGGATAATTTTCCAATATACAGGATGGCCATAATCAAACTTTCCTTATTCCAAGTACTCTCTAACTATAATCAATAAGCAAATTGTCACCAAAATTTGCATAAAGACTATGCAAAGGTGGGGAAAAATTATGCAAAGAAAAAAGTTAATTCAAAAACTTCTGTTAGAGGCACAGAAAAATACACTGTGCCTCTAACAGAATGTATTCTAATTGTAATTAATAAGTTTTAAGAACGTACATATTACATATATACAGATATCGGCATTTGCCGATCACAAATGCATACGCAAACAAACGTATAATAATCTCCTTTGCGATTATTAAATTAAAAATGCAATTTGTGGAATGAGCGGTCTTCATTTCCTTCTCTTCAGTCTAAGATCTCCAAATCGTACGTGTTCAAAACATAAATGAACAGAAAAATACAGAAAAATACACTGAAACAACACAATGAAAATGTATTTTTGTTCCACAAGAGAATAAAGAATGCTGCTTAATGTGTTCCCCATCATTTGAGTATAGAATTTGAAGACTATGAACAGAGAACATTATTTGTAATGTTTAAAATAACACATTAAAATGTCACTTTAAGGTTGATCTTCATTATTTACTGTGTTTTGTTTGCATATTGTATACAAATTTTGGCATCAGAGTGCTCTGAATAGAGAAAACTTTATATACAGGCTGACCATAATTAAAGTAATAAATCTTCCATTTTGAGTAGAATAGATTTTCTTCTAGTAAAGAAAGATGGGTTCGATCTCTGACTGTAGAGCAATTCAAAAATCAGGTTTTAGCAGACCATTCTTTTGTACTCAGAAAATAGGTGTTAAAGTTTAATTTAACTGTTTTCCTAGCAATTCATATTATTGCAAGTTGACTGTACTTTAAAATTATATACCTAGTATTGCATAGAACCAGATTAACTACACAATATGTCGTTTCATTATCGGGCTAGAACTTTAACTAACCTACCAAGGGTAGGCAGTAGTGGGTAGAATCTTGTATTAAACTGATTAATTTATTCTGCAGGAAATGATTGATACAAAGCGGGACTCTAACCTGAATCTTGTGCTTATCTCACGAAGGCATCGCCCGTTATATTGCTATTGATACAAATTAATTGATCTGGGTAGCATAACTGTATGGACCACTTGTTATAATTTATTTCACTAAGGTTGCATTTAAGCAGATGGGAGAGCAAAACAGGAGAGGGTAACCAAGCATTCATCTATGGGAGTATTCTCCTTGTTTTCTTTCTAGTTGTGTTTGTGCAAAGGCAAAAAGGAAAAGTCTGATGAATTTTACATGTCTGTTGTCATCTTTGGCATGGAAGTAATCCTATTGAATTACTGCACATGTATTTTTCTCTCCTTTCCTGAGTTAGTGCAAGAGAAAGTTCAACAGACTGTACCAGTTTCCCTGGTCCTTGAAAGATCATTTATCATATGTTACATGCAAGAACAGTTTGCCTCTTCAGTGTAAACTACATCTCGAGTGCAAATTCTGATCCCAAAAATTCTCTTTTGCCTCTAAATAAATGCAGCCTATGTATTACATTTCATATTAGAGGGTGGCATAACCGTTAGTCAAAATTACATAATATACACATTATAAATAAGTAGAGTTGTAAAGCTGAATATCATGCTGTTGTATTGTGCTAACAGTTTGTTTTCTATACATATTTGAATTTTTCATAATTTTGATGTCGTGTCTATAGGAATGACGGATACAATAGAAGACAGGATCGTAGGTACGGAGGAAATCGTCCGTTTAGAGACGGAAACAGAGACTTCTATCGTGACGACAGAAGAGACAGCTGGGATAGAAGAGATTACCGCTATAGAGACGACAGTCCTGATAGGAGAAGACATTCCTACGGCCATTCCTCCAGAGACAACAGATAGAACTGATACATTTTATAATAATATAATCACTCCTTATTTAAGTAAAATTTCTGTAATTGCAAAGGGAAACCCGTGCCCCCATAACAAAAGAATGTCTAAACATTTTATCACTAAAATCAACAGTTGCGGTCTCGAAATTGCATGACATTTATCATTCTTTTGTAGAGCACCTGCATATTGTGCTTAAGTTTTTTCAAATTATAGAGAATAAAATTATTTTTATATATATAATTCTGATGTCATAACGTTGAATACAATCACCTTGTATGCTTACAATACAATTTGTGATGAATGAAAACAATTTTTTAGCATTTGTTGATAGCAAACAATTGCGCTTTTCCTCTTAAACTATACATGCTTATGAAAATAGCCTCTCACTATATACACTACTGCCTGGAGACGATAGATAAATCTTAGCGAATTCTGTCAGGCTTGGGTACTATTTTGCATTTGCTGACCACCACTTGTAAAGGTCTGCCGTCCGATGTAGGCGAACAGTTTTCATATAAAGTGATATTTTTTTAGTAATAAGGACTATTAGTAACACAATTTGATGTAACAATGAACAAATAATGCATGTCGTGACACAATCTACTCGCAAATAAAACAAATGCGGTGTCGCTATCACACCCACCACAATGAAACAGGTCGTAACTTGTCACCTGCGAAATGTACACATATTTTGCTGAATATTCGGTATTCGGCAAAATCTCTATTCGCGGCATCACTAATCTATATATCCTTGTCCTGCTGTATCGATTAGGTTGAATTTGGTCAACCTAACGATACAGCGATAGGCTCTTCTTGTTGAGAATTCTTGGATACATTCAGCCATATCTTCTTCATCCACACTTCGTTCATCAGTTAATTATTAGGTGTTTGTATTTCAGACAAGAGAATGACAACTGTAATTTCAATTCAATGACAATCATAATAATTTATTTTTTAATAATAATTACAGCTTTGTATCACAAGACATTAACAATTAAACAGAAAACAAAGCTTTATAAATCCAATTATATTTTTTAGTGTAAGTTCGAGAATTTTACCAGACTTACAAAACTAGTTTAGAATACATTTCACAATGTTTAACAGGACAAAAAAAAAAAACAACTTAAATATATTTATAAAAAGTATTTTAGCAACAATTTATGTATCACAGATATTATACTGTATGCTTCTGTAAATAAGATTATCCTAGATTTACGTCTAAATGAAAGTGTCGGTCGGTTCTTCTGCCGTTAATTCTAAATTTGGTGTGTCGCGCGCAAACTTTGGAACTATTTTTCACTAATTTGCCGTAGAAAAGGACTGGACGATGCAGAGATTCTGGTCTGCGAGATGTCTATTGGTCTAACTTTCGATTTTCGAGGGCTTTTTGGTCAGATGGGATGTTTGTTTTCCTACGAATGAGCTGTCAAAATCGTGTAAATAAATTATAAGGTGAATACTGATTTGTGCTGCTATATCTTCTGATTATCATCACCTAAGCAAGCTAGAATTCCATCTGATCCCAATCACCGCCTCAGCTTATTTAGTTGCAAATTAAGGGTGCAAATCAGTATAACAATTTGTATGATGCAATTACAAGAATGAAATGTTTACAAAGTTCTGAATACTCTCTTCTATAATTTGATTTGTACAAAATTTGTTCTACCCGCTTACAACGTATACCTTTAACTCAGTGTTATCTCATACATTAAAAAGTTTTAACATTTCGCTAGAAGTGTGTTACTAAATACAGTTTGCAAATTCCCTTAAAATGACTCGGAAAACCCTTTTGGTAGCAAATTCGTCACTTAAAGTGGTTGAAAATATTTTAAGCATTTGATATGTAAGACATTAGTGCAATTTCTAACATTTTTGGGGTTTATAAAGGGATCTTAACAATAGGGTTTTGGCTTAAGATATAATTCAAAATTTTATCTAATAATTTAATCTTAGAGTAGAATGTTTTCAAAAATTCTATTAAAATTTTCATCAGAAGTTTAATTTACCTGAGAGTTTATGGACCTTTCCTTCTAATCTTAGTACGTGGCACGACTGTAAAGTTGCTCCTCAGTGGGCAAAGAAACGGGAGGAGCTTCCAGAAACCAAATAATGACGTCACAGTCAGACGGCGTGTCGGAAAAGTTAAAGTTGACGGCCACACGGCAGAGCAACTTGACGATCGCACCATAGTTGTAAGCAATTACAAATTCGGTATCATTATGCGGTCTTCATTAAACGCCACTTGTCTGTAATCACTTCATTTTTATATAATTTGGACCAAACATTTGCATTAAAATTAATGTATAATGATGCAGAGTTCAAACGGGTGCATAAAAAAGCTACTATTTTCTATTGTGGTCCACCACCCATTGTTCCTGATTTAACAAAGTTTGCTATTCAAAATGGCAACCTTCCTAAATCTAACGATTCAAATTGCTGCAGTGGCAGAAATTCGGAAAAGGTTAACATAAATAATTTTCTTGGGACGACGAGACTTTCCTCAAGAATAACGAATCAATAAAATCTATCCAAAAGGTAACAGATATTTTATAACAGTGTAATGTACGTAAAAGGATGATTATCGTACACGAAACTGGACTACTAGAATTATTTACAATAAATTGAAGCCCATTGAAGTTACAATTAAACACGGTTCTAACCAAACATACAACCCAACAGTTGCCATCAAAAGGATGAGCGTAGATGCCAGACGGATACAAGACACGACATTCAACATTAAATCACATTACGACAAATAAATAACGAATCTTTTGCAACTTCTGAAAATGCAGAGAGATTTTAATACAATTTGCAAAAGACAAAGATTCTTTGCTCTCATTTTCTTGAATCTATTCGGATAAATTTGAATTAAAGATAAGTAACACCAGTATAATGTAGTTTACCACTTAAATTTCATTTAACTTCAAAAAATTAATCCCAAAACTCAACACAAATAAATCTAATCCCATTCTGTGGCACTTTTGCAAGAATAATGTTCTAAATTTACACAAATATATGGCATAAGGATGTCTTTATGCACTAACACAGCCTTACTTCCTATGCTTGTATCACATGCTTTGATAACTTGGAGATATAAAAGAAATTGTCTCAATACAAGATGCGAGAATAGTTGTCATTAGAGAAGTTTAAACTTTCGTCAATTTATTGATAATTAAAGTTTAAACTTCTCTAATGACAAAAATTGAAGTACAGTAACAGATCCTAGCATTAGAGGAAGAATGAAGTGCAATAACTCATCCTAGCACTAGACAAAGAACAAAGCGTGGCTGATCCTAGCATTACAAAAAGAATTAAGCAGAGTAAGATTGTAGTACTGCATAAAGTGACCTCATCATACATTACACTGTGCTACTTAGTTGTTGCACTCGGTTTTTACTCTGCAACCAATCGTATAGCGACAGTAAAAATATTAATCAGAACTAGAAGTAATTCAGTTCTTAAAAGTGGAAATCTAACGACGCTCCTAAATTCAAACTCTGCATTAAATTACCCAATTATACACGGTGCGATTAAATAAATAAGTGTGTACGACAATCAAGAAAATGAGAAATACAAAGAAATGTTTGAATTTTACACGTTTTGTTCACATCTCGGAACACATTTGATCAAACTTAGAAGAAAATGGCTCAAGTATGGTTCGTTTAATTGCTCTTCTTCAACTAAATCTTCTCAAATGTGATCCAAATTTACATATTTTGGAAATAACATAATATGGTAACTGCCACAGCACTTAAATTAACCATAAAATTATGTGCCAAAGCTGTTTTCTAGAAGGAAAATTGATTGTCATTAACTATTGCCCTTGCAGTTATGAATGTAAATAGTATCTTAAAATAGGAATTATTAAATAGGCATATAAAGAAAATGAATAAAGTATAAAAAAAATAAATTATGCTTTACCAGAGTGAGCTTTTATGCTTTGAATTCCAAGTGTTTGAGCCGTTCCGGCACTTCGGAAATTAATCCCGAAAGACGAATCTTCTTGGAGGATTTAATAACGACTTGCGTCATAGGGGCCGAAGCCCACTCTGATAAAGCTTACTTTACATATACATTTGAGTTTGCGTATGCTGCAGTTATTAAAATTCAATGCATTAATAAATGTATTCTAATTGTAATTAATAAGTTTTAAGAACGTACATATTACATATATACAGATATCGGCATTTGCCGATCACAAATGCATACGCAAACAAACGTATAATAATCTCCTTTGCGATTATTAAATTAAAAATGCAATTTGTGGAATGAGCGGTCTTCATTTCCTTCTCTTCAGTCTAAGATCTCCAAATCGTACCTGTTCAAAACATAAATGACAATTAAATAATATTCTTCAGTTAAACATAGAGAAAATGCTTCTTTGCAAAGATATAAATGTATAAAGCTAAACCCAGTGTCTATATGTAAACAAAATAGACCAATGTGAATGCAGAAATTCCCTACTTAACTAACTCTTCTGCATCATAGAAGGCTCACAACACTCGGGCATTTCATTATTGAGAAATCAATCTCTTGTATCTAATGGTGCCACTAGATGAAAACATTTGAGGATGTCTAAGATCGAGTCAAACTCTGTCAGCATGTTTTCAACCTTTGGTGGACAAAATTGAGTGCTTGCTTGAGTGTTGTAGTAGCTTTGTGTGACAATTCAAATTTGACAATTGTGCTCTACCATACAGAACTTTTAAAGGCCACTAGCAGCATTCTAATGTGGAAGAGAAGCAAGTGTTGACATATCAAGCACAATACAGACAAATGGTTTCCAAAGAAGTTAGACATGTACAAAGGCATTGACCAGGCAATTGTGCATAGAATTTTAGATGAGATCTACACTTGCAAAATTGCATTGGAGTGGGTGCCACACGAACTGAATGAAGTGCAAAAATGGATACAAAACATGACACGTAAACCTACTACAATACAAAAATGGTAGAGACAATGTGTTGAATAGGATCACTAACATTGTAAAACCATAAACCACATCTATTAACCCAAGCTTGTCAGTTGGCTAAGCAACAACATCCATAATCATTGCAAAACCTATCCTGTGAAAATAATGGTTACCTGGAGAGGGTCATTGTATTATTTTGTTTGACAGTTAGATAGGTCTTGCAGTACACTGCATTTGCAATCTGGAGAATAGTTTATATCATGTACAGGTAATTAGGGATAAACATCCATAACAGTTTCATAATGTTATCATTCTTTATGATAATGCTAGAGCCTGTACAGCAGTGTCAAGATGCTTCTATAATGCCAACATTGTAAAGATTCCACCTTATTAGACCTTTCACCTTATCAGTATGATTTAATGCCCAAAGTAAAAAAAAAGCCATTGTGTTGGTAACACTTTTGTACACAAGACGTGTCTAAAGCAGCAAAACGTGAGATTGCAAGAGTTGCCAATTGTAAAGCGAATGGTATTTGCCACATTCCTCATCGTCAGCAGCAAGTGATTGACAATCGAGAAGAACATTTTAAAGCTTCATTAAATTTAATGTGCATATAAAATTCTTTATTCAGCATTACTAATTGTGAGGTAAAGGAATGAAGAAATATGTGCAATGGTACATTAAAGTATACATTATTTCTTGCTTCTCTTACCTAAAAGACTACAAATGTAACTGATCTGACTAATCGTGTTTGGTAGAGTATATCATGTTCTTTAATATGTATATTTTGAAATTTTTGCAACCCCCAAAAAAGAATTGGTTGCCACGACTTATGAAGTAACCCTCATATAAATACAGGGAGCATAGTAAAGTCCTTAAATTTTTATGTGCTGGAATAAGCACGAGTGGTGTGCAATGTTTTTAATCAACTGTTCTAGCTTTTAAGTGTTTAGATACCCTCTTACATCCTGTAATGTGCAGTTTCACTTTCTATGCTTTGTGACACGATTAGTGGTGATGTAGCATCAATGGGAACTGAAAACCAGCAAATTCATTTTTCCCATTTTCTATTCATGCATGCTGGATATCCTTTTGTACTATTACAGTAGTCCTCTACGACTTTGTAATTGACTTTTTTCCATATCGCATATCGTTTTTGAGACAAGAGCACTAACTTCTGAATTTTATCACCTAGGCGTGTCACTAGTGGCCTCGTCTCATTATGCACAGTCACTTTACTGTAATTATATATCATGCTCGTAACTGTAGCAATCTGCATTGTCAATTACACGGGTGTATAAGAACTTCACTGTTCACTCTTTTTATGGCATCACCGAAGAGATTAATGTTATAGATTATTCTTTATCTACATCTAGATTACATGTTATTTATATTACAAATAAAAGTTCTTACCAATCCGTAATAGCTTTCGATAAATCAAATTTTGTTAAATCGATGGTCGCCTTTGCTAATACTCTTCCACGTGAAAACATGGTTCCAAATCTAGAATTAACGGTTACTTCCAAGCTGCAAGAGCTGACGTCCGTGGCACTCACTTCGAATTCGAGTCTGCCGACGAGAAATTTGATTTATATTTACAGCGAAATTTGAAATTATCGTTGCTAGATTGAGACTTACGATTCGTCGTATACGGGGTTACAACTGTTTTTACAGACTTGAGTCTTTTGTTTATTATCTTTCGTTCGATCGGGGAGGAGGTAAACTTTGACGTAGGGATCGGGTTTCTCTTCTCCTTCTCTCTGTATTAGATTACTGGAAAAGAAATATCTTTGTGTCTTTATCAAACTATACTACACTCCACTATTAAAATTCAAAAATTATTTTTGGATAATAAATATATTTAAGAGAATTTATTAAAATTTGGTATGCATGTATAAATACCAGCCTAAAAACTTCATCAACAAAGGGAATTCCTTCCCTTTTACAGTGTACATTAATAGAAATATAAAGAATTGTTTAATTCAAGTAACATCCAGTTTTATAAAAATATAAACACTATACTCACACGACTTTGTGAACGACGACGATCAGTCTGTTTCTCGGAATGCTGTATCTCAGCGTCAGCTGAATTCTTCCTTCTTTGTTATCGTCGATGCTGAAAAAGTTAAGAAAGAAGGGAAACAAAATATACAGAAGATTAATAAAAAGAAATTAGCAAAAATTAAAAATTTGCAATAGATTATTGTTAATATATTTAATTAGTAAAGCTGCATTGAGATGTTATAAAATCGGAAGAAAGAAGATAGTCGGAAAGAAAAGTAAAATGGAGTTAGTGGAAGTTAATTCAAGTAATTGAAACCTTTGTAATGGTTAAATTTAATACAGAATAACTCAGATATTTCTATAAATAACACCCCTCTAAAAAGAAGGCCAAAGGTGTTAAGTTTCCGAATATTAAGTTTTTCTCAGCATCACAACTTTAGTAATCACAATTACTAAAATTTTCCATTCTCATTACCCTTCTTGGTGTCAAATAAAAAACGACCAAGTTTCAAACCTTGGAACGGTCAAAACAGATTAAACACACTATAAAAGAAACTAGATATTAAGCTTAAGCAGTATTGGAGTCAACGAACAATGCACGAGTTGCGATATAATTTGCACTGTACTTGTAATTTTATGTCTTATATTAGCCACACAAAAAAACTTTGCTAATTGGGACATTTATTTGTTAGAATCACACTACCAGTAACATTCTATGTGGCACAACACAAAACTAAGTTGAGTTTAGTGTATGAATGAGTGAGAGTAGGTGCATAGTAGAAAGTTTTACACTAAAACTACAGTTCCCCAGTCAGACCAGATGCGCAAGACTAGCTACTACTGTATCAGACAGCACAAAAATCCAGAATATCAAAAAGTAAAGATGAGAAACTTAATATCAACCGAATAGAATACAGAGATATCTGTTTGTAATGACCAAAACACCTGAAGAACGTTACGATACTAACAGTAACAAGGTTTTTAATAAATATGTTTCTTAAAGTAAATCTAGTGTTATTTTTGTTATCAATATTTCATTCATACACTGAAGAATCCATAATTAAGCACAGGATTTATTCATGGAAATATTTACTCTGAATCACATACCAGACAGATAACTACTTCCATACCCAAATTATAAAGAATGAATTATCAAATGATCTGCCAGATTTTTCTTCAGACTACATTAGGGCTAATTCATAATTTAAAACAGAACAAAGTTGAGATTTTGAAATGCTCTTGTTCCATTATGGGAAACAATTTCTTAAAACCGAGTTCTCTCTTAAAATTTTTGGTCTGTGAGCAATAACAGTCTCCTTTCACGGCCGTTGCAGGTTTGGCTAGGCAATAGGGAAGGACCCGACATATCTGGCTCAAACTGCTCGTGAAAATTTGAGGTTCCGATCCACTAGAGCAGTAAACTGGCACCTTCTATTGCTCTAGTTGATCAGAACTTCAAATATTCGTGACGGTCAAGGCAGTAAAATTTGATTCGTTGAACGATTCTCAGTATATAAAACACAAAATTTGGAAAGTATGATCTAATGTTGTACTATGATCTACAATTTCTTTTGGTTTCGGGGCCTTTCCTCGTGAATCAAATAAACATAGAACTTCGAGTGATTGTTTTGGGCTTCTAAATTAAATTTTTATGTTCTAAACAGCAGTTAAAAATTGATAATAGCACAAAATTATATTTCAGGGGATACTCTTAAAGGCATGCATAATCCTGGCTTAAATGTGATTATAGAGAACTTAAAATACTTTTTAAAATTTACTTTGAAACAATCATTTAATACAAAAAAGCATTTATTTTAAGCAAATAATACATATTTTGCGTAGAGTATTATTCAATTTTGTATAATATATATTAAGTATAACCATGAAAAACAACAGAAAATCCTCAAAATACCTTAATAAACCTAAATTTAAAACTTATAAACAAAATTGTTAATATTAAAATACAATGTAAACAAATCAGATAAAAAAACAAATAAACTTTAACAAAGTTATGTAAATGTTGAGCATTTCTCTCAATAAAACAATATCACAAATCCTTTTTCTCCTGTCCGTACCTTGGTGCGGGACTTTCTTCTTTCGACGTCTGATTTAATATCTCGCGACTGATTTCCGCGGTGTCCACGATGGGAGCGACGGTCGAGTGAATCATCTCTTCCAACGACGGAATTACGGCGCCCGTCGTCTCTGCTTTCTCGGATACGGATGCACTCTTCTCGCTCTCGGAAGAGAGAGAGAAGGTCTTGCTGACGGGCGAACCTTGGGGCGACTTGTGGATGGGAGAACCCTGTCTCGATCTACTTCCCGCAGAGCCCGAATCTAATTTTTCGTCTTTTGTCGAATCCTGTACACAGCTCAATATCTACAACAGAAAGATCTGTTATTAAAATAAAAGATATTAAAATTATGGAGCATTTGGAATTCATAGTTATGTTAAAAATAACATAACTCCATCTCAAACTAAAATAATATGTCCTTTTTCCATTTGTCATGGGTTTAGTCCAGTCTATAAAGCAACCGAGATGCCAAATGAGGCTTTATGTATCTGGACATGGAATGAATAGATGATAGACAGTTAAGGCATCAACCTATTGCTCGGGCGAGGATTGAATCCAACAGTGCACGTCAGGTCCCAGATACATTGGACTCCATCCCACACCATCATTTTCAATCCAAAAGAAGCAATTTAAGTCAAATTTCATATTAAATTCTATAAACTTAATTAGAATGGCTGAGAAATTTAATCATAGTAGTGCCTTATTAATTTTATTGAATAATAACAGCAAGCCGATTACAGAAGCCACAACATTTGAAGAGCACTCTTAAGTCGCAAGTAAAGAAAAAATAAAATATTTGCACAAAAGCCTTTAAGTTTCTACAGTAAAGCTGCAAATTATACTTTCATTCTTTACAGCATCAAAGCTATAAAAACATCATAATTCTACAGTATAGAGCTCATGTTCTACCCACTATGGGGTATTATGTATTCCAGGACATTATGGGGTATGAGGGGTACTCCTAGTAAACAACATTAAACAATTCTTATTGTAAATTTGCTAACTTATTTTAAAAAGTTTCATAATGCAACGTTACCTTTAATTGCAGGGATAAAAATATTTTTGCATTGGATCCTGTCGAACTTAAAACAAATGGCTGTTCCAAATACATATTTGACTCCTTTAACAACTGCGATAAACGAATTTTTAGATAACCTAACGATTTGGATAATTTTGAATCCAAAACCTAACGAAAATAAAATTGTTAACTCTTAAAATTCTTTGTAATTCTCATATAACGTAACATTTTTTGGACGACAAACCTCTACTTCCAGTTCCTGAACTTCCGGATTTTTAACAAGAAACTGAAAGCTTTCCTCCCAGACTGGATCGTTAGTTTTCGGACACGCAGAACTTGTCACCTTCTGTCTATCGAGAGTAAACTGAACCCAAGGACTGGGTTCACCTGCTGCTCTGGTAGCATTCTGTAGAAAACAAAGAATAAACTCTTAAAAAGTATTAACTAATTTATTTAAAATAATAAATTTTTACTTCACTTACTGGCAAGTGTTTCGCGGAATCCAAAAACACTATTAACAAAGCCGACGACAGAGAGTACTTCATTCCAGTGCTTCTATTTAAAGCAATTTGCTATATAATTTTACAAAATTATCAATAATTTAAAATATAGAAATATTGAAGAAATTAATGTTAAACCTAAAAAACGTGTTTCGTCAGAAGTTAATGGCAGGGTGTACACTAGATCATAATTCCAAAGTATTTGATGTGTAATTTTTTCCTCTATAGTAAATTATTTACATATAGATTATCTTATATTAAGACATATGAAAGCAAATCTCTCTAAATATTTTCCCAATGTTGCAGAAATTTCGTTAAATTGAAAAACCAGATTACACCCTGTCATAATTTTAGACAAAACACATACCTACATTTGGTAAATCCAATGGATCGCTACTCAACGCAAACCAAGTCACTCTTATGTTGATCAGGCCGCTCTTTGTTTCTTCTAATTGCAACCACTGAAAAATTATTAAAATCTTTTAATTAATTTCTAAAATAAATGTAATTCTAACAGAAAAAGGTATTTTGTACAATTAGAATTATACATAGCATTTAAAGAAGAATAGGATAATTCTGTACCTCGTCTTAAAGAGGACCGAGATGAACAAAACAGTTCTGGTTAAAATACACATAAGGATAAACCACTTAAATTACACACTAACACACTAAGTTTATTTAAAATGCCTAGAATAAGATATTCGAACATATACAGAAGCTCCGTACACTATAACTCTATTGTGTTATTTCACCAAAAGACTCAATGGTTACAAAAAAAAATTTGTGCAGATTTATTTATACTAAAAAGGCTTATAGAAACTATTTCTCTTAGTGTTCTCTGCAGGCAATGAGAAAAAGTCTGTCGAGTCTTTTGTTTTTTCCTTACAAGACAGTCACGAGAAAAGGATCCTTTCATTGTTCAGCAGTCCTGGGATAATGTTGACGGTCCAGAGAGGAGGCGATTTCGATCCAGAGAAAGAGAGATGGGAATGAAGTTGAGGATGCAACCAAGTAAGGTCTAGCACCAAGAGAAATCAGAGAAAGAGAAGCTCTCTCATCCTTGAAATTCAGGGATTTTTATTATTTTCTGTCCCCGAGCCATTCCAACTGTTCGCATTTCTCATTCTCACTTTCTAACTGGTCAATCATTTGTTACTAAGTATAATAAGATCCCAATTAGATTAGAGGATGAGTCAAAATCGACATTTAATTCAATCCCAACCAGAGATAGCTGATCTTGAGACTTACATTTTAGAGTTTTCCTTTGTTACGTTTCTGAGGAAAGGGTTTTTTTCATTATTATTAATTTTTCCCTTTAAGGACAGAAAAATATATATTAAATATTAATGAATTTAGTGTGGCTCCAGGACATCTCTGGAGCCTCACATTAATAATCCTTATAGCCACTTTATCTGCTCCATTTCATACTTTATAGCCTTTCATTCACTGACATTTTTTCAATAATTCAATAAATATAGAATTTAAGGCCTGTTCTATTGTTTTCCGGAGCCAATTTTCATTATTGACCTTGTAACCAATAAACTAAATCCTTTGTACAACTCCAAAAGATACACTTTTTCTAAAATTTAACCTTTATTAAAACCTTACATTTCACTTGATATAGTTTGTTCTTTGATATACATTTATTGACCCTTCATTCTCTCAAGTAATTGTATGATCTTCTGAAGAGAGAACCACCACCGTAATCGTGGTGGTTCTCTCTTCAGAACCACCACAATTTTCACTTTGCATTAACGCAGTGTTGGTGAATTTCTGACCCTACTTGATTGGTAGATAAATCCCTAGACATATGCTTATATGTGGTTTTCCGTAAGAATCTAGCAAAATTGAATTTAAAAACGTTCTTAAAAGAATCCTTAAATTTCACCTTAAGGACCACGAACTTATACATACATATTCATGTTGTTGGCAAGTATTATCAGATTAAACACACAATTACATCTATATAGAGTTATTAAATCATCAGAAAAAATAATTATATCTAACACCAAACTATCTAATTTACTCATTGACATAAATAACAGCAAAGATACATACCATGTCATCCTTTCCTTTAGTTATAAGAGAGTTAATTGGAATTGATATCCTATAATATTAAATTTAATTCCAATGTAGTAAACATTATAAGAAAATTCTAATAAACATATCTAAATTAGAATAAATGATACAGTTAATATTTTGTTACGTAACTTAGTAAATGTATTGATCCCATACCTGCCGAGAAAATCGTCCTTACTTCCTTGATCTTCGTCCATCACTTCGATTTCCAAAGCTTGACCGTGAAGTTGGTCCACAATAGCCTAAGTATACATTTGAATTTAATATAACTGCAAAACTTAAAGTAATGAAAATAATGTTAAAATTAACACACCAACACTAAAAATCCAGAAAAATTTACACTTTAATAGACAAACTAACATTTTTGATCGTGTTAGAGAGCCGTCGTCGTCTAATAAACTAGGTTAAAGGAAGATCGACGGTCATTAATTATGGCAACGGAGACTGTCTCGCTTTTGAAAGTCCTTACATGAAGTGTCTTCCTCCATTCCAAGGGGGATAGAGAATATCAGTTAAAGCATTTCATATAAGAACTTCCAAGTAAGGAATATGGTCTCTAACTCCTGTAATTGCTGCCAATCTAATGGCCAAATTTATAAGGTTAAACCAAATGACGACCATTTAAAACAGTAAAAACTTTAGTTTTGTCTATTAAACTGGCATTTTTGGTGTCGGCATGTTAATTTAAACTTTATCCAATTTTACAATGTGTTTATTTATAAAAACATTAATAACAAAAGTAATTACATATAACTAAAACTAAAAATCATCACGATACATCACATAAAATGCATTCCTAAACCAAATTATTTCTTAGACAAAGTTACAAGTCTTTAAAGCTTATATTTTATTTAAGATTTTAAATGATAACATCACTAAATGTAATATTTATAATTAATAATTTGATAAATATTTACCTCGCAGATGTAATTCCATTTTGGCGTAATGGTATTCTTTATTACGGAAGTTCTAAACTCTTGGGCACCCACTAAATGAAAAATTATTCTTGAAAATTATCAAAGTTAAGATTTTACTTACAAATTAACATAGTTCCATTAGAAATATAGATACATTGCAATATTCTAATTACAGATATCCCTTGATTAACACGATTAATACCTCACATTTGATGTTTAGGAGCATCTTCCCATACATACTGAGTATTTTTTACTGTTTGTATAGCATTATATCCTTTAACATTTCTGCCACTTAACGCATGTAAAGGGATTGTCAAGATAAAATATCACATTAAGCAAAAGATACCTACTCTTATGTTCTAAATACAATAAGATTTGCATTAAAAGTACACACAGGGTGCACAATAAAGCCCTTATACTGTATACTGACATGTGCGTGATACATAATATACAACACACAACAACAAATTCAGCACAAAGACATAGGAAAATGAGAAATACACATTATAAAAAACCAAACAAGAAATATATGAGAACACAAATGAACACACAAGAAATACACATTTTACCATCTGTGTACAATATACACATTAGCATTTCATGCTTTCCATCCATGCCATTTGGTTATGCTGAGTGTCCTCTAATACTATGTTCTAGAACTTTATAATATGCCCTCCAAGCATGCAACATCACTGAAGTGATGCTATTATTTGAACTTTTGTAGCCAACTTCGTAATAGAGTTTTTCTGTACCATGCACTGTATTCAAGACGAAAGCAGCAGCTTCCAAATTTTACCTCTAAAGGCATTTCAAGCAGTCTTGTCTCATGGCACACAGTCACTTTACTATAATTACACGTCACATTCGTAACTATATTTATTTGCATTCATCGGTTATGCAAGAATATACAAGGACTTTACTAGGCACTCTGTATACGTGCATTTTTGCTATAAAATTAAATGCTGTACAGAATTACTGTATGGATTATTCTTTAGAAATAAATTTTGACAACTGAGATTTTTCAAAATATTAATACATTCACACACTTTTAAGATAGATAAAATGTAAAAAACCAAATTCAAATACCTAATATTATGGCGTAAGGATCGGATTTTCCCATTCCCAAAACTCCGACGTCGGCTCTCACCAACTCTTTAGCTCCCAGTGCTTCTATTCTCAATATTCCCTAAAATATAACAACTAGTATATTAGCAAATTTAATTTGTACATTTAAATTTTAAATTACAAATATCTAGAATTTAATAACAAATGTGTTTTATTTACTAAAAATGATAAAAATCTCCCTCTTTTGGGTCTGTGGACACAGAGGATATTTCTGCCATCCCAAATCAGGGCAGGTCCACGATAGAACATACAAATAGCACAAGATTATTTTGATGTATCCACATCGAACCCCTCATAAAGATGCGTTTTATATTATTAATCTAACACATAATTACAAATTGCATTTCTGAATGGTAAGGGGAAGTCATTTCTCAGAACACAGAGAATAAGCATGGTTTATATCAGTATCATTAGTCTATTCGATTGAGATACATTAAAAATCATCAATAAATCAATGTATTTTTATAAAAATTAAGTGCGAATACCTCTGCTTTTGTAGTTTACATATTTCAGAATTAACAATTAAGTAATTTTATACGTATATTTTAGATACCACTTACATCCGGATTTGGCAATTTCAAGGTTTTCGATGGAATGTCGGATATCAACTGCACGGTAATTTTGTTTGGAAGAACCATGAGTGCCGCCAATTGGTCCAAAATGGCTTTACGTAGGAGATCACTGGAACAATAAAAAATTCTGTCTTAAATTAAAACAGTTATATATATTATATGATAGAATATTTTAAAAAATAATTAGTTTGAAAGTGAAGATCAGACAGAAATCGGAGTAGCGTAATCAGCAATACACATGCATGGTAGATAGAAGTTGAAGGTTCGAGTCCCATCAGAGCTAATCTTTTCTTTCAGAATTTTCTTAAATTTATTTATTATTCTTAACAAGAGATGGCAGTCTGTAATTGGCAGAGGGAACAGAAGTTTTGCCAGGAGCCAAGCAAGAACAAGTCAGGTACAGCATGGATTGTTGTTAGGTCATGGAAATAGAATACAATCCATATCTATCAAGGGTATGAGCAACCAATTAACTGCAACGACACATTATATGGTTGGTGCTGGATTTCAAATAATGTATTTCTAAAAATATACTTTATGGTTCTTTCTGCATGTCTGATCCAGGAAGTAGAGGAGGAAAGAATATGGACTGTAGATGGACTGTTAGTATGCAGTTACTAGGTATCACTAGAATTTTGATGGAAATTTTTTAGAGAAGCTTAGAGACCTCCAAATTTCATAAGTCTTCCTCTTTTTTGTATCAATGCACAGGAAGTCATCAACTATCACATTTTATTTCATCATTCTCAAATGCTATAAAACAGTAGACCACGGTCGACTGAAAAGGTTTTGAAAGTAGCCCGCGAAGCTAAAGTTGAACAATTTGCTTTCACTTAAATTAATGTTTAAAAATCTTAATTCGATAATTTATTCTTACAATAATAGACTGTCTGTGCAACGTACCCATACTGTTTGTATTTATCCCGACAAACAATGCAAATGAATGTTAACACATGAGCATATAAAAATCCTAAAATTGTTTGACCATATTCATAGTCACCTGCAGACTATATTTTACCAAAAAAGTAGCCCCTAAGGGATAAAAGTTTGGCCACACCTGCTATAGAAGAACAAAAGGAGTCAAAGACACAAAGGAAGTGAAAAAAGTAGAAGTGCCATCAATCACTCCTTTTCTTGCTCTGTTTCTTTTTTAATTTTCAAATAAACTAATTGATTCACCTTGTTTTAGGACCTACTTAGTACAAGCTTTAAGTTTAAAAAAAAATTAAATGCTGTTGATGCTTAATCATCTTGTTTCATTAGTGTATACAGTTGACCCACTTATAACACTGTTGATTATTCTGTTTTATATGAATTCCATGTTGTACAAGTCACTTAGATTTTACAAATACATGTGCCGGTCTGTGAATGGCTCATGTATTTGTAAAATCTAAGTGGCTCGTACAACATGGAATTCATATAAAACAGAATAATCAACAGTGTTATAGGGGGAGGTCGACTGTACAGGTAACTATTTCATTATATTTATTTTATTATACAATCTGGTGTGCGTGTAGAAGTTATATATTTTAAGTTTCTAGCAGTCCATTGTATACTTTAGACCCAAGGGAGGTATATAATTAATGAGTTTGACGCATGTTGATGAATTGCTATGTGAATATCTTTTTAATCAAATATGAAATAAGTTTTATAATAGTAATAAATATAAATTGCAGCATACCTTAATCCGGGAGTGTCGAAGACATCTGCTAAATTCGTAAGATTAAAATCGATGGCCTGAAAAAGTATAAAATCTTAAGTATTTGTACTTTAGTTTTTGATTCCGAATAATCAGATTATTTTGTCAATTAATCAAATGAATACTTTATAAAATTTTATTTTCAACTTGAATCGAGGGTGCCAAAAAAGCATGCACCGATAAAGTACTCCAGTTCCATCCGCACTCTTCGGAGCATGGCTCAATTGATAGTAGCAACATTCATGTTAACCTGCATTTTTTACATCAACCAGACTGGTTGATGCCAAAGCTTGACAGCACACTTTCTAGTGAAAATAGAAGATTAACTTCATTTTTCAACAGGATGATGCTGTGACACATTTCCATCCTGTACTATTACCCGAACACCTGTACATTGTTCGACAGGACATGCAAGAGAGATCAGCATCTTTTTTTGATAGTTTTCCCGTTTGTCAGGTCTGAACAAGACATGTAATTTTTATGTCAATTGGTCATAACTTGCTGCCAGTCACCATTTGATATCACTGATTTCAAATGACACATTTACTTGAAGATGGCATAAGTGTTTAAAGGTTGCAAGCAGTCAGTCTACTCACACTCAAACAAAAACACCATATTTTCTACTTGATAACATACATTTTCTTTACAAGAAACCATTTAGTATGAACACTAACCTTTAAAGCATCCATGCCAAAACTCAATAAAACAAACTACTAAATTAGAATCCACTAAGAAACGGATAAAAATCTGGAAAAACTTTTCAGAAAAACAGAAGTGCAATGAAATTTTTTCTCCATAATGTTATAAAGATATTGAAAATTGGTCCCTATGGCAATTTTAATTAACTGTTGTCCATATTTATAACTGTTGTATGTATAACTGTTGTCTAGGACAGGGGTCGGCAACCTGTGGCTCTTTGGATGTGAAGCTGCGGCTCTTTAGTTCCATATGCAATTATTATTTATTTTATCAAAAAAAAAAAAAAAAAAAATTTAAAAATCGTTCTGAATCGATTAACGAGGATTAGGCACTCTTTCTATCTCTCAGCAAACTTGTACTCGCTTTTCACCGCACCCCTCCCCCGTGACACGCATCGTCACTGTCGTCAGTCCGTCGGAAGCTCTGGAATGACGCCGTCATCGGATGTTTCTATTATTTAATTTGTTGTGAAAAACACCACTTATATATGAATAAATAGATTAGTTTTTTTTTTATCAAGAAACTTTATTTATGCGAGTACTATTTATTGTTTGCAAGAAAAAATTTTGTGGCTCTAAAAACTTTGAAATTTTGTAAATTGTAATTTTGGCTCTTCCGACTCAAAAGGTTGCCGACCCCTGGTCTAGGACAACAGTTATACATATGGACGAAATATACAAACTATAACTTAATAATAGAGAGAAACACACCAAATAAAAATATATAACAAATCACATTATTTGTCCATTAACTGGGATGATGGAACCGTATTGGGATGCCCATTTATGTTAGTCTAGACCCACAATGGAGCCACTGGGTGGCAAGGGACAGAGCCACTGGATGGCAAGGGACAGGCCAAACATATCCAGATGGACTATCCCTAAAAATTCCAGGAAATTTTTGACCTTTCAACCCATTCAGATTCAATCCCAGATCCCACAACCAGTAGATTGCCACCCTAACCACTCAGCCATCCAGCCTTCACTATATCTTGATTGTCATCAGTCAAATTATATTTATTTACTGTAAGAATGTCAATGTAACAAAAATCATTTCTTCTAACATACTTTTATCTCTTTCAAATAGTATTGTGATATTATCTAAGCATTTCTCTCAGAGTCTCTCCGATATGCGGCACAAGCATTATTGTCGACGTTGAGTCTTGTGCAACTCAAAAGCCATGCAATGCTCGCTATTGTTTATAGTCATGTCTTCTAAGTTGATTACCGGTATTGTTAACAAACATTTAAAAAAAATATATACATATATATATATAACAATAGTCTTTATACATTAGGAAACAAATATTTAGAAATAAGTTTCATTTAAATTATCAATGTTTAAACATTTAAGAAGAATACTTACAGGATTATTTAAGAAAAATACTGTGACAGCACCAATTAGGGGCATCTTTTTAACTAGTGGCTTCAAAACTACACGAACTTTTCCATTAACCTAAATTTAATAAAGTACCGAGTGTTAATAAAAAAAAACATTTTTAACAGTTGTTTAAATTTAAAGCGAACAGTTTGTATGACATTAATTACAATTTACTATAATAATAATAAATGTTAATGGTCTCATTAAATTGACATTATACAGGAAAAAAAATATTTGTTGTAATAACCGAGGGATTTGTCTATACTTATTTAATGACAATGAAGAACTGATAATGTTAAACTGAATAAACAAATGAGATTGCAGTGATAAAAACTCAGATTGTTTATAATGTCAGATTTAGTAAAACATCAAAAATTTGTATAATTTAATTACAGTACATAAATATTCATTATTAACAGTAAATCAGCTGATATTGTTTGCCTGCAGGTTTGTTCACTGTCATCTTTAACAACAGCTAGCACATCACTAAAGAAAGAAATGTTGGCATTTAAACTCCTGTGCCACGAGCAAATAATAATTACAATGNGCGAGATATAAGCCCCTGAAATAATAAATTCCTATTACAAATATACTGAATTATTTATATTGTTATATTGACCAAATAATAATTTATTGCCAAATGAATAATAATAATTCATATTGTTAATTTAAATAAAAATTAAAATTGTTAATTTGAATGTTTGAAATATGACATGATAGGGGTGCCTCTAGTGTCCGTTATCAAATGGATATGGGACGGACGGACAGATTGAATGGGTGATATATATAAATACTGTATCTGTTTTATTGTGATTACTTGTTATTATGGATTTGTTTGTTATATCAAAAGTCTATTACTATACAGCAGAATCATATTAGCATGGATCTCTATAACAAATGTAGAGAAAATATCTGCAGTTTGCAGATGTTTTCTCCAAGTTCAGATGCCAAATCAATGTATTTTAACTAATTTCACCAGACTTATTACCACTGATATAATGAGATTCTACCGTATATAGTAATATCAACTTGTCCATTACTGCATATCGATATTGTGGTCAAACATTAATTATGTAGTGGACAAAATTTCAGTTGTAAAGTATATATGTCAAATTTTTATTAAACTTGTAAAAACAATACTTTTATTTTATTTTTCTTTTTAAAATATTTTTAAGAAAAACCTGTTGTAGTTTTTTTTCTTGCTTTAAAACTGTTTGAAATTGTCTGCTTACTCATAAACTTTCTTTACCAATCAGAAACTGAGATTTTCTATCTTCAATCTGGTGAATTATATCTATTTTTTGTGTTAAATCTAAAGTTTTTCATTATTTTTTATGGTCCATGGCTTTGCTTTACAAACAAATACAAGATTTGGTTTGATTTGCTACAGCAATGTGATACATGGATAATCTGCTGAGGGGAATGCCTCCCAGGAGGACTTTTATGGAAAACTGATCTCTATTTAGGTGTTAGAAATGTGAAAAACACCCAGAAAACTACATGTAACCAGTCCTTTGATGATGCACAAACCCATGATGAAATATCAATATAGTTGGTTTTATCTGCTTGACCACTGGTGGGCTATAATAACTCATCACTTGTAGAGAAAACAAAACTAAAACTGAACAAAATTAATCAGTCAGAAAATAAAACAAAACTGGGCATATGTAAACGTGTAGACTGAAAAAAATGATTAAAAATAAATAAATTTCACATCTTATTTCAACACGCAATCATCTAAATGCAGCTAAACTGAAGTTAATAACTACAAATTACTGCAAGGTCACTTACGGCTTGTTACGTTCTTAATTTCTAATAAAATGCAACACCCAAATGCATTTTTTAGAGGCTCGACTTCAAAAATTCTGTCATTTCTCTACTTAATTTTCATTAGAATTTTTGTACGAAATGCAAATTCTATTTTTATTTATAAGAACCAAAAGGAACGACACAAGAAGTATGCACTTAGTACAATACATCATAATAACATATAACATTTATTACAACATTATAATTTAAATTATAGTAATTAATTGCATTCTTTAACTTTTATAATTAATCTTGTGTATTTTTAAGATTTAACTTCATTTTAAAACTATTTTTTAAACAATTATGTTTAATTAGAATAAAGTTTTGATCGTCGGCACGTTATTAGCATTTATTAATGATAATTAAGAAAATTAGAAGTTAAAAATATATTTTTTTTAAAATTAAATACACTTTAATTAAAGCATTCATTCTCTAAGTAAAAGAACCATTCATTGAAATGATCTAAACGTGTGTATTTTTAATTTCTCGAGTGGACGAGATCGAATTACCACGATTTAAATTGCACTTTTTGAAATGCTGTACCTTAATTTATTTTCTTTATTGGCATATATATCATTCACTTTACTTTTTAATTAATTCTGTTTAAAATCAATGTCCGTCTTTCAGAAATTTAGATTATAGAGTTGCAGGTTCAAACTACGCTCTGGAAAATTCATCCGGAGTGTAATTTAATACTTGAATTAATTAAAGTTTTCAGTAAATGAAAAATATGTCCGACTACAAATCGAACTTGCAAATCGTCGATTAATGTTCATAAATCTGCTTGTAATTCAAACAGTTTTGGTTAATTAGCAAGAATATTAACCCACAGAATTCTTATCAATCATTTAAATTCTATGCCAGAGTTTTTGCTCCTCTTTTTTTTTATAAATTTACGGATTGACTGTGTAATTTTTTCCGAGATTCAATACATTCAAAATACGCTGTTAATAGCTAAAAATAGTAATAAATAATTGTTTAGTTGAAACACTTAATTGCCGATCGTTTATATTATGCAAACCTCAATTAACATAGTTTTTATTAATTAATTTGATTTAAATTCAATTGCGACACATACCAAAAAACAATAGTAGTATCTTATTTGCATGCGCATTGAAATATAATTTGAATAACTATGTCATTGATGGTTCGTGTTCAGACGTGTAATGATGCCAGGAGATCTTGACACCACTAACTTCCGAATTGGTAGTCGTGTCCTTGATTGGTTGGGCTGTCAATTTTTTTTAACACAGGCAGTATAGGGAGAAGATGGTCTTGTACGGTAGCTTGTTCAGCAACTGAGTTATCGTAAGGCAACCGGGGCAAATATGGTGTTTGAAAGTTTGTAAACAGAGGCATTCGAAACCCGATGTTTGACTATTATAGTTCAATAAATTCAATGATTACGAGTTGTCCATAAATTACATATTGCACTTACAGATGAGTGGATATTCAGATAATTACTATAATGCATCACAAGCTGCAGATATTTATAGAAATATAGGGGAACAGGCAGGCAAGTGAGATCATTCACGGTACATCACTTTGCAATTCCAAAATCTCATTGACTTGGCCAATTCTATATTGTCTTCTGTTTCAATCTTGATTAGGATAAGCATTACGTAAATTTAGGGTGGAAATTATGGAACATCAAGTGAAGGGTGGAATGTTATTTGGAAAGTATAAAAATAGTATTACAATTAAGCTTATTATTAATTGTTAATTACATCAGCAACAAACTATCAAATCTCCATCAGTAAACACTTTTATGATGCATTTTCACTATTTTATTACGTAGACATTTAATTATATGTAAATTATTCCGCAAAAGTTGCAACTATACATAAACTATTTAATCTGAAAAAATCTGAAGAAAAACTTACGACGTCACCAAGGATGATTTTCTCAAATACAAAACTTCTCAGGTACAAGGGCAAGCTCTGTCTTATACTTGGCTCTACCGATTCTTTCAAAAGATTTTTTACATAATGTCCGACGAAAGGCCATAATTGCCTCAATATCTGAAAGGAAAATACAAAAAAAGTACAGTGGTACCTTGACTTACGAGTTTAATTCATTCTACATAAATTACTGTCATGTCAAATCAATTTTCCCCATTAAAAGTGAATTGAAATGCCATTAATTTGTTCCGAACACTGGAATTTTTTTTACATGTTTTTAAATAAGAAAAATATACTTATAAATAACAAATATTGTATAAAGACAATAGAATATACTGCAATAAACTTGTTTTGTGGATATTGCTGCATTCACTATAATAAGATAAAGATGCATAGACACATGCATTGACACCACACACAACATGGAAGTGAACTAATGCCGACATCACTTGATCACATGTTTTTCTATAAGCTAGCCTGTCAGACATTGGAAGAGTAACGAAAATGACAAAATTATGGCAGTTTTCCATCATCTTTTTTTTTTTTAATCTGTGGTTTGCCGTGGAGTTCGCTGCGCAAACTAGCGGTGGTATCCGAAGCTGGCTCGTAACCCGAATTTTAGCTCTCAACTCAATGCAAAACATTGGCCGAGAGACGGCTCGTATCTGAAAAAACTCGTTAAGTTGGGACACTTGTAAGTCAAGGTACCACTATAGTTAATTTTAGAGTCAATTTCTTTGTTTTTTCATTCATTTTAAATCTATAAAAGAAAAATCATCTTAAACTGTTACTTTTACCAGCAATTAGGTAGCAATTAGGAAATAAAGTCAGTTAACCAGGATATATTTCTTCTTTTCTACGATTATTCAGTCATTTCTGTGAAGTAACTGAATAACAAATATGGTGTGAACTCGAAATATAGATATTTTGGCAATTCAACATACTAACATTAGAAATTTTGATGATTTACGAGACCTTAGGAGAGTATATGTAAATTATAATATATATGTTTCCTTTTCGAATATACAGAGTACCGGTGTCATTGTCATGATTAAGAAATAAATTAAGATACAGGACTTTCGATCAGATTCGGATCGATAGATAATAGCAGTGGATATAGCTATAGGAAATAGGTTGTTACGAATTATTAGTTTTTATGCTTCGCCTCGTGTAATGGAATGGAAAGAAAATTTTTTAGCAGTAAGTAGGGAGGTTATTTTGAAGGGAGATTTTAATAATGTTCTGTGAGGGTCAGAAATTTCGTGTTATAAACTTTAAATTTTTTCTAAAATTTTAATTAAACTTGGGATGCAACTTTATAAAGACGGAACGAGTTATAAAGAAAATTAAAAGAGAAGGGAAACATAAAATCTGGT